GCGGTCTCCCGCCAAAAAACAAAACAGTGTATTTTCCTGCTGTGTGCACGGCCATTCACGCGCGAACATCTCTGAGACTTGGCTTCTGAAAGGGACAGTTCCAAGAAACTTCATGGTTTTTATGTTTTGTTCCTCCCCCCAATTATTTATTTGAGCGATTAAATAAGTTTTAAGGGCCTGATCCCAGGCCTCTTCCTCCTCCCCTCCCAATCCCACCCTCATTTCTCCATATTCCTGATGCCCTCTCTCCTCAGAGAAGGGGCCTCCCCAAAGGGCACAAGTCACAGCAGAACTAAGCTGATCCCTTCCCGCTGAGGCCAGACAAGGAAGCCCAACTAGGGGAAAGGGATCCAAAGGCAGGTAACCACATGATGACCAGGCTGCACCTCTGCTACATATGTGTGGGGGGCCTAGGGCCAGCCCAGGCATTCTCTTTGGTTGGTGGTTCAGTGTCTGTGAGCCTGGTCTACTTAGTGAGAAAAAAAAAAAAAAAAAAAAAAACCCAAGGGTAGACGGCACAAGTCTGTAATTCAGTATTTCGGAGGCTGTGGCAGGAGCCATCCTCTTTTTTTGTTTTATCAGGCCAAATTACTCTCTTCTTGTACATTCTTGTCACACCTCACAGTTCTTTACAGGTCGGGGAGGGCTTCTGATCAATTAGTTGCCTATTTTTCTACTGGGAGAGGACCACAGAAAGCATGGAAGGGGAAAGAGATGGAAAGCAAAAACTCACAGCCCCTTCTAAGAGCACCTCTCTGGTGATGGAGAAAGACAGCCCAAAAGACAGAACTTCGTAAATCGGTGCAGAGGCTCACAGCTGTAGGATTAAAAGCCATCGTGGGGTCCGGACCACATTTGTGAAAGCTGTCTCAGAAGACAAAAACAGGGAACCGGTGAGGGTTCAGTGGTAAAGGTACTTCATACCAAGCCTGGCAAGCTGAGTTCCATCTCTGGAACTCACACAGCAGAAGGAAAGACTAGAGTCCTACTAATAAGTAAATAAACAAGTTAAAGAAAAACAAGCTGGGTGTTGGTGGCTCATGCTTTTTATCCGAGCACTCGGGAGGCAGTCAAGCAAGTCGCTGGGAGTTCGAGGCCAGCCTGATCTACAACTCGAGTCCAGGACAGTCAACGCTGCACAGAGAAACCCTGTCTCGAAAAACAAACAAACAACAGATGAACAAATGATAAAAACCCTGCATAAACCAGGGATAAGCCAAAGTCCAATACAATGTTCTGGATAGTGCAAAGTCATCATTTTGACTCTATAGAGTAGGTGTCATTTCAACTAGACAACATACTACTGACTCCCTCAAGGCTTGTGTCCTGGAACCCAAGGGGAATGGAAAAAGGACAGAGACACATACAGGCATTCACAAAAGCTGGGTGGGTAGAGGTGTGCTCACTCTAAGGGAAAGGCAGCTACCAGCAGGCCACTCAGAACCTCAGCATGCTCTCTGTAACTGCCTGCCTCCGTAAATTTGTTCTATAAACAAATTTTGTCTTTTTATGTGCCTTTAAATATGTTGGTCCCAAATGAACTTCACAATGACCTTGAGCAGTCTCACCTTATCAGTAAGGAACTGTAGCTTTAAAACAGTTTGCTTAAGTCAGACAGCTGGTACGTAGTCTAACCTAAATGGGGGTCCTAAATGGTGATCTGCAGTTCCTTTCTCAAGCACAAACCTTGACCCAAATGTAGCCCAAGGACTACCGAAAATTGCCCACACAGACAAAACCTAGAAGGAATGTCCTCTTGCCCACCATGAACAAGGTCAGGAAGTGCAGAAGGGAGAACTCACATCAGAAGATACTGTCTCCTCAAGGGCTGCTTGCAGTGCTCTCGCTATCGGCTAAAACCAATAGAGAAAGAGCAGCGGCGGTGGGAAAAGTGTTCAGTCTTGAAATAAACCCTCTCCTTTCCAGATCCCTGGGACACCCATGGATGTGCTTGCTAGAGCACCTAAATACATTGGAAAGGCACTCCTACAGCCAACCTATGTAGCACTGGCTTGGCTTGGAACTCACTAAACAGACCAGACCGACTTTGAATTTGCTGCAATCCTCCTGCCTCTTCTTCCCTTGAAACTACCCAAGGCTGAGTAAGCCACTACACCCAGCCTCTAATAAATCTAAATTTTAGCCATCCTTTAAGCCTAGCCCCAGAGCCAAACCTCCTCGGGTCTTCCCTAAGCATGGGTTTGCATTGGACCCTTTCATCATTTTATGTTTAAGTACACTGAAACTACTAAGACTCAAAATTTAGTATTGAATGCTGTTTCTTACTAGACTGGTAGGGTTTGTTTCATTTTTTACCTCTTCTGTATGTTGTATGGAGAAGGAAAAGCTAAGTTGAAGGAATGTGTATTATTGACAGGGACACAGCAATGAGAAAGATGGCAAAGCCATTTCCCCATATGGGCCAGGCTCATTCTGTGAGAGCAAAACAGGAACAACATACCTTGCAAATTAATGGGAGACCTAATATATTTTGGAACTATATGCCTTGCAGGTTAAGGGCTCTGTTTGCAGTTAAGACAGATAAGGATAAGTTCCTATTTGTCTTATGTTAAGTCCTTGCAAATTAAGGTTTCTATTTGTAAGTAAGAATAAGTTCTTGTGTTAGATCTTATGTAAACTGCTTGCAACCCCATAAACATGTTTTATTATCTTTACCCTAGTTCCTTCCCTTTCATTTTATCTCTCTAAAAATGTATAGCAGCCAGCTCTCTGGCCTCTGAAAGCATCCTATCACTCCTATAAAACTCCAAGAGGCCAGTAGGGGCTGCTCCCTCAAATCCCAATTTAGGGTGAGGCAGCTGGCTGGCCAGTTTAGGGTGCACCTCAAAACATAGCTTGCTTTAATTGGGTAATAGTGGACTTGGTCTTTTCTTCTCCTCAGTCTCAGTCTCAGTTTAACATTTCTTCTTCTGGCCCAAGTGAACACTTCCTGAATTTTTACACTCAGAGGCTACTCACCTACAGGGATCTCCTACATGGAGTCTCAATAACCCTTATCCCTAAGCCATACCTAGTACACATGCTGAGCTTCTGAGTTGTCGGCTGAGGTGCCATTCCATCCGAGTGAGCTACTGACCTAGCTTTTCTGTAACCCTGTCTGTATGTCTATCCTTTCTCCATTCCCTAGATGACACTAGTCAGGGTTCCAGGACCCAAGCTTTGAGGGAATACACTGTCCAGGTTAGCCCTGAACATCTGGACTCTAAAGATCCTCCTGAATAATAGACTGACTCACTGTACTAGTGCTCGCTGCACTGACTGAACACATCATATTTCTACCATTGTCCCAGCTATCCAGGTCATCTCAGAGCCTAATTTCCAGCGCTTCATGTCTACCTAACTAGGCACCAAGTCTTGTCAGTCTCTGTAATCTCTTCCTTTTAATTCCCATTGTCTATAGTCTTGAGTACAAAAATGTGGCTACTTTACACCTGAACTAATAACGTTCTAACAGATCGCTGACTCTCCAGAACCTTCCCAGTCCAATTTTATACTCCAAATTAACCCTTCAGTCACCTTAATAAAGTCTCTGGTCTCCCGCAGTTAAATCTTTGTTGCTCTCCTCTGCTGTGAGAGCATTTAACTATAAAGACTGGGGTGGGGTGAGACAGCGCAGACGTCGCTCCGTCTTTTGTTCTTGCCAAGGTCATCTCAGATTTAAGGAGAAGTCGATCTACTTGATGAAGAATGCTATGGAAATTACTCAGTTCTGTTCTAGGAACCCAAGGTCAAGATGCCCAGGCTAACTTATCTTAGCTTCTGCTAAATCTGCCTTCTTGTGCAAATGTCCCCCTCCAGCTAGCAGCTTATCTTAGCCTGTTAAATTGCTTGCTTACACCTACCCCCTGCAGCTTCTGAGGGAGATGCCAGGACATGTTTTTTTTTTTTTTTTGCTTTCAAAAACCCCACGCTCTGGGCACTTAGGACTCGAATCCTCAATGTAATCCCAGAAATCTGGAATAAAGACTTTCAATTGGCCATAAATTGTGTCTGAGTGGTCATCTTTGGTGGATTCCCTGTAACAGTACTTTCCATTCTTAGCCTTAATTTACCTTTCTGGTCACACCCCTCAATCCACTCCATCCTAGGATACATGCTTTGTTCATTCTCTAATGTTTATGCAACCCCACATTGTCAGAATAGCTCATTCTGTCCTCCTGTTCTAATATCACGCTGTGCTTGATAGACGCCAGTTATGGAGTCATTTCTCCTTCCTACAGCAATCTTCTTCCTTAAACCTCAACAGCCTTAAAATCTTATTCATTTGACAAAGAATATTTTAAGCTAGGTCAGTGGTGTAGACTTGTGATGTCAACACTCAGGAGGTGGAGGCAAGAAAGAAATTACAAAGTTCAAGAGCAGTTTGGGTTACAGGATGCTAGTCCAGCAAGGACTACCATACCAAGATAGTCATCAAAAATAAATAAATAAATAAGTAAATAAGTAAATAAATAAATAAATAGATGAATAGATAAATAAATAAATAAATGCATGCATGCATGAATGAATGAATGAATAAATAAATAAATAAATAAGTAAATAAATAAGTAAATAAATAAATAAAGCGCTGTACATTGCTCCCTTTCCAAGGGAAAAGTCAGGAATAATGCTTCCTCTAAACACATTTGACTTGTTTTTATGGACAAGTAACACTTGTTAGGTCTCAGAAAATCCCTAAGTCTAGAAATGAGCTCAAGTTAGACTAGAGAAGAACTTTCTGACCTTGGCACACCAGTGATCCCAGCACTCAGGGAGGCAGAGGCAGGTTGATGATGTGAGTTCAAGTCCAATCTCGTCTACAAAGTGAGTCCAAGATAGCTAAGGCTATACAAAGTAACCCTGTCTCCAGGAAAAAAGAAAGGAAGAAAGAAAGAAGAAAGAAAGAAAGAAAGAAAGAAAGAAAGAAAGAAAGAAAGAAAGAAAGAAAGAAAGAAAGACTTTATTGTTGTTTGAGACAGGTTTTCTTTTGTGTAGCCTTGGCTGTTTTTCTGCAGTTTCTGTACTGTAAATTATCTCATACAACACAGGATTACATTGTTTCCTGCCCTGTCATAATCATTCAAGAGAGCCAGGCCCAAAGTTACAAGGCTGTATTCCCAGCTAGCTGGATTACAAGTCTAAGTACAACCTAGGCAATTTAGCAGGAGATTCTGTCTGAAAACAAAGTAAAAAAGAGAGCTGGAAATATAGCTCAGTGGCAGAGCACTTAGCATGAGTGAAACTCAGTCCCCACAGCTACCAAAACATTTTTAAAAGGAAAGTGGCCACCCCAATAACAGAAATGTTTTTTTGTTGTTGTTGTTGTTCTCCCAGAATCAGAATATCCAAAGTGTTTTGCTGTGTACACTCAACACATTTTACTTCTCATTTTGTCTGCATTTCAGAAGCATCTTTGGTGTACTATATTGGGCCCAACTTCTTCGAATTCTGCAGCCGTGATCCACATGTCTTGGAAGGCAGACAAGGATGCAAGAATAGACCCTCCCATCCACACTGATATTTTCCGCTCCGGGGGAGATGTAACTTGCACAGGGGTATTGGCAGGTGCCAGCTTTGCCACATCCTTAATGAGTCGCTTATCCAAACCAGGAAAAGAGGTTGATCCTCCGGAGAGGATGATATTGGAAAAGAAGGAATTCCTGAGATCTGTGTCACACTTCATTATGCTGCTGAAGCACATCTTGTCGATGCCAGGTTCGTCAACATTCACAAGCCATGGAGAGAAGAGGGCCTCTGGGCAGCGAAATACTGGCTCATGGAGTTTGAAAGTCTTCCCATCAGGAAGGGTGTAGGTTTTCTCTAGGCTCGGTTCCTTGGCCATTTCCTCCTCATAGTCCATGGCCACATAACAGGCGTTCTCCTTAATTTCCGCAACGACCTTTCTGTCCCCGGTTCTCAGCAGCGCGACACCATCATCCTTCAACAGCTTCATGAGGTAGGTGGTGAGGTCAAGTCCTGCCACATTTAGCTGCTTTACACCGTGGGGCAGGCAGTAACCTTCAAAGATGGGCACGCACTGAGTGATCCCCGCTCCTGAATTCAGCACCAGGCCAGTAGTAAAGCCAGCAGCAAAGAGAGCCAGCACGGCCTGGACAGATATATAGAAGGCAGGGACTCCCAGATTTTCAAAAAACACTTCCGAGATGTGTTGCCGGTCTGTCATTGGGTTCAGCGCAGGCTCTGTAACCAAGACCGGGCCATCACTGGCCTTCAGGTTCAGGTTATAGTCATAGATATGTTTCCACATGATCTCCATGTCTCCCCAGGAAGAGATGAGACCCCGGTCTACTGGATAGCTGCAGGGAGAACAAGAAAATACATAAGCCTTGTGCTTGCTGTTAGTGGTGGCTTTTAGATTTGGCTTAAAAATATTATTATTATTTTATAGTTCTTGTTTTGAATCAAGAGTCTCACGGTGTTGGCCTGGTGGATAGCTTTGAACTCAGTTATAGATAGGCCTCGGGAGCCCACATCTTTAATCCCAGGGCTGGGGAGGCAGAGGCAGATGGATCTCTGGGTTCGAGGCTAGCCTGGTCTACAGAGCAAGGGAGAGGGAAGCAAGGGTTACACAGAGATACCCTGTATCAAAAACAAATAATCATACCCACACACACACACACGTACATACGTATGTACATACTTCAGTATGTGGACAAGCTGGCCTGAAATTCAGATTCCCCTGCCTCTGCCAGAATTAAAGGTGCAGGGCACCAATCTTAGACGTAAGCCTTTAATACTTACCCTTTCTCTTGTTTTTGTTTTGTTTTCATCTATTGCTCTCTGGTCAGTGACAAGAACTGTCAGTAAACAGCTACCATTTTCTGCAATCATTTTGCTTGGCCATTTTTTCCTCCTCTTTTGGAGATAGGTGACTTCAAAAAGTTGAAAATTTCCACATTCTGGTATAGTTGTAAACAGTTAAAGAGACCACGCCAAATGACAAAAGCTATACCTTAAGTCGCATTCTTACACGGGCATGTGGAGCCGGACAGGCCACCTGTGTACGTTTTGAATATATTTGCATATAGAGAACAGAGGGGGTTTTTTTTTGTTTGTTTGTTTTTTGTTTGTTTTTTGTTTTTTTGTTTTTTTGAGGGGTGGCTGGCTGAGGCCCTCGGGTTTCTCTCCCTGGTCTTTTAAGGGGCTTTTTAGCTCCGGACACTCCGCCCTCTTCCTCATCCACCAGCCTGCAGCATCCCTAGGTACCTGATGGACAGGAAGCTCCTGCGGTCCTGTGCCTTTTCGCCCACACACAGACCCAGCTCGCCGCAGTCCACCGAAGTGCTGTGGCTGGTCCGGCCCAGAATGTTCGGGTAGACGAACTGGGGCTCCCGGGTCCCAGCCAGGCCCGCCTTGATCATCCCCGAGCCGTTGTCGATCACCACTGCTGGCTGGTAGCGGTTCATGCTGCCGCTGCTGCTGAATCTGCGGCCCCGGCCTCGGGACCGCTCCTCCCGCTCCTCCCGGGCCGTGCGGGGCCGGGGGCCGGGGAACGCCGCGTCACAGAGGACCCGGCCATCTGCTGGCCCGTATGACGGACACGCCGCGTCTCCTGCGGCCGCCTCTCCCTGCGCTGAGCCTCACCGCTGCCCCTGGAAGCTCGCAACCTTAATACAGAAAACCGCGTCTCCCCACGCAAAACGTGCAAACCTAACACTTTACAAAGGGCCTCTCTCAAACACTCTGAAAAGCTATTTAAGAAGGAAGAGAGAGAGAGAAAGAGAGAAAGAGAGAAGGAAGAAAGGAAGGAAGGAAGGAAGGAAGGAAGGAAGGAAGGAAGGAAGGAAGGAAGGAAGGAAGGAAGGAAGACCCCGAGCATCCCAAAGCCTTCGGACTCGCGTGGGGAAGTGGGAGAGGCCCTTGAAACCTGGGGAGGGCCTGGGAACACTGCTGCAGGATGGCTTGCTTCCGAAATGCTCAGCTTTGGGGGCTGCTGGGGTGTGAAACGAGCTTGCGTACTGTGCGGTAAAAAACGTAAGGTCTGTCCTGAATTTCTAAAAACGTCCACCAAAGGACACAACCTTTTCGGTTCTGTTAGACAAGTTTTTGCATGCTAGCACAGGCTGGCCTCGAACTCCACGCAGTTCCCCTCCTCGGCCTCGGTTCTGGGATGCTCGGCTCCTCTTCCTTCCTCCCTGGCCTTGCTTCCTCTTTCCCTCCCCTACTTACCCTCGTCTGCCACCTGGTAAAAGAAATTCCTTAGACAATTATGAAGTTCAGCTCAAAATAAAAGTACACTGAGCGACAATATATATATTTTTTTTTTAATGAGAGCTTTGGTGTCTGATTTCGCGCATCCCTTGCGGGCTTTGAAACAGGTACACGAATTACAACCTTTGGTAGGCATCTGAAGCAGAAAGGAAAAAAGTCATTTACAAGTCCGTCCTCCCACCAGAAGCCGGCCGAGGCGCGATTCTGTGCCTTTTCGCGGGTGCTGGGACCCCGGCCACCTTGCGCTGCGATTCCCCAGCCGGAGGAAAGCCTAACCTGCCCCGAACTGAGAAACGATGGGAAAGAAACAGGAGCGTCCGGCGTCCGGCCCTCGCGGTGTACATGGCGGGAAACTTGCAAACACGTTCAGACTTTTGGAGTAGTTCCGGCACTGTTCAATTAACTGGGCGTCTTTTTTCACTCCCTTTCCCATCGAAAAGGCATGGATCGTAAGGAAATAGGGACCCGCAGATGAGAACATCCCATATCAAGAACCTTTGAGGCACTACCTCTAACCGGGTTTCCGTAGTGTAGTGGTTATCACGTTCGCCTAACACGCGAAAGGTCCCCGGTTCGAAACCGGGCGGAAACAGGTTACTGCTTTCTGTTTTTTTTTTTTTTTTTCTTAAAAGTAAATAGCTTGAGTTTACTTTTCAAAAGAAAGGCAAGACCTTGAGGAGAAATCTCAAGTGGGGACTTTGCCAGCTAAAGAAATACACTCAAAACAAAACAGAAACGATTTTTTTTTAATTCAACTTCTTTAATGTTGAAAACAAACGCCCCTATAGCCAGAAGAGAACGCCAAACAAAAAAGGGCTGAGGAGACAGGTAGCTACTGATCCTACAAGGCTTGCCTTGCATTCGCGCTAGCTCTATCGCCTCTGGAGCATTTCCGCACGGTAGCAGTTCTCCCCCACGAGAACCCACTCTCCCTTCCACGCCAGGCTGTTTTGTTCATAATCTGTAGGCCAACTTCATTAAATATTTCTGAACTGACACATTATCGAAAGGGGTTCGACAAACCGAAAGGTGAAATTAAAAACGAATGTACACTCAGAAATATAAACGTGTTTCTTAGAAACACGACTGTGGCTTCATTCACGAATTCTTCACAGCGGTGTTTTGAGGCAAAAAGAGTCCTGTGGAGAAAAAGTGTCAAAGGTTTTGAGACTGTTTAAATAAAGTCACAGGTAAACCCCGTTCAGGTCTAGAAACACAACTTTTAACAACACACATTTAAGTTGTGTTTTTTAAGATTTATGACGTCCGCAGGTTCTAAGAAAGACTCTGAACAAACATATCAAAATTTTCTGGCATTTTAGTATAGTGTAGCGTCTCTCTTTACTGCATAAAATCTGAACCCGAGGTAAATAACTGTGCTTAAAACTTCTCGTTCGGACGCAGGAAAACCTTTTCCGGTACAAAGCCCACCTTCCTCTCGTGTTGCGCATGCCCACTGTGCTCTGCTGGTTTGCTTTGCTTATGTGCAACTCAGCCGTCTGTCACCAGGGTAAGGGCATCCTGGAAGATTTGCTACGGTGGGCTGGCTCACACAGAACTCTGGGGGTCCCAAGAGCTTTCGGGTATGCAAGAGAGGAAGCAGTCATTGGCCTCGACTAAAGCATATCCCTCCCATCCGCCACGGCCGAGAGCCAGGGTGCACAACGCAGTCATCTCCACTGGAGGAGCGCTAATGGAGAGAGGAAAAGAACTACAACTCCCAGCATGCAGCGCGCAGCGCGGTTCCCGGAGAGACGTGCCGTGCACTCGAGCCGGGTCTCGGACCAGCATCTGACAGCTGCGGGCTGGCAAGGTGAGCGGCTGGCGCAGGATGTGGACGAGCGCTGAGGTGTGTTGCGGCGGCTCGGGCATGCCGGGCAGTCTGAGAGCCAGCTCGCCGGCCCTGCACTCTGACGTCCTATCGCCGGCGTCCGCACCGGCCCGCACGTCGGGACGTGACGCTCCCGCGGAGCAAGAAGAGGGGGGCGGAGCGTCGCGGTGACGTCCTCCCAAGATGGCGGAGAGAGAGTGAAGAAACTGTTTCTCTTGGGCGGCTACCGGTGAGTGCCGCCCTCTGCCTGGCTTGTCGTCCTCGCGTCCTGGGATCCGGGGTTCTGGCGAGGCCTGGCGCCTCGGAGAGCGAGCGCGCTTCGCGGCCAAGGACGGTGTGGGAACCCGCACTGGGAGGGCAGGGCGGCGGAGGCCGAGGAGGACTGCCTGGGGCTGTCACCCTCCGCCGCTGCCAGGCCCACAGCGGACAGGCGAGGGGTGTGTCCTCCTCCGGGGAGTGACTGAACCTTTGACAGCTCGGTGTCTGGTCGGGGGCGTTCCCGCCCGCTTGCACTTGCCTGGCGCTGGGCACTGCACGGTCTAAGCCTACAGGTTTCAGGGATCCAAGAGCAATTCAAACAACTCGTACCGTGTCCTTAACCCCGCTGTCTCAAAGAGTCATTTCTTAGTTTGTTTGTTTGAGCACCTTCAGGTAAATATGCCTACCAGAGCTTGAAAGTTTGAAGGGTCTACTGTAAAAACTTAGAATTTTTAGGCCCTTTTCATAACTCATGACATTGGTTTTGTTCACCGTCATTTATGGCATTAATGTTCTAGTGCACTAAAACAAAGAAAGACGTGTGTTTGATGAGGCTTTGCGGGGTTGGAGCAAATTAAGAGCTCTCTTCTTCGTGTTTACTCTTCTGTCCCTTCTCCACCCTCCTTTACCTCTGCTTGGATGAATGTTTGATGAAAGCTTGTGGTTATTGATTCACTGTTTCTTTTCGTCTTTCAGATCAAGGGTACAATTCCATTCTGATATCAAAATGCAGTATTCACACCACTGTGAGCACCTTTTAGAGAGGCTGAATAAACAACGGGAAGCAGGATTTCTTTGTGATTGTACCATAGTGATTGGAGAATTCCAGTTCAAGGCGCATAGGAATGTGCTGGCCTCCTTTAGTGAGTACTTCGGTGCGATCTACAGAAGCACTTCTGAGAACAATGTTTTTCTTGATCAGAGTCAGGTGAAGGCTGACGGATTTCAGAAACTGTTGGAGTTTATATATACAGGAACTTTAAATCTCGACAGGTAAAGTACACGTTTTTATTCAGTTATAAGAGTTAGCTTAACATCCAGTATTTTATGCAAAAGTTAAGCTCATACTGTTCAATTTTTATTGACTACTATAAAAAGTTCTAAGAAAAAAAGGTCAGTTTTTAGAGCTAAAATGGATTCATTTTTTTTCCATTTACTCGACACACTCGTTCTCAGTGTTGATACACACAATATGTATTATATTTATTTATGTTTATGTATGTATGTATATATATATATAATGTAGCTCCAGCAGATCTGTTTAGAATGAAAAGGTGTTTGATAAGCACAAAAAAACCACATTTAAATTAAGAATTCTATATGAAATACAAACGGCTCAGCTGAGTGTAGTGGCCCATGCCTGTACCCCACCACTACCAGCACCCGTGGAGGCAGAGGCAGGTGAGTTTGAGGCCAGCCTGACCGTGACTTTTGGTCTTTGTGTTCCTCAGACTCCTCGCACACTCACTCTTTGTCCCTTGCTTCTTATAAGGTATTTGGGGTAGAGTGTTGAAAGAACCACCTCCGGGCTCAAGTCCTCTTGCCTTTCATTTCTAACATTACATAGCAGCAGGTAGGACTTCCTGCTCATGGGTCTGGAAAGTAACTTCTTGGAAATATGAATAACCATGACTCTGTCACTGTTGCTAACCTACCCAAAGTTTAAATCAAGCCAGAGGCATTACTGTGCTTCTCCTAAGGCTCTTAACTGCTGGCCTCTGGAGATGCCTTCATTGATCAAGTGCCTGCTGTGTAAGCCTGAGCACCTGATTTTGGATCCCCAGCATCTATATAAAGGCATTTTTGTTACTCCAGTGCTGCCAAGGTGGTTTCCTGGAGCTCATTAGCCAGCCAGGCAGCCTAGCAGAATCTGTGAGCTTCAAATTCAGTGAGAGGTCCAGGCTCATATAATAAGGTGTGAAGAGTCACAGAGGAAGACATCCAGAGTCACCTGCACCTTCCACACACAAATACACATGCATTGCGTGTTCATTTGCACATGTGTCCACACACACATACTATGTCAAAAGACACTTATTGCTGCCCCTCTGTGTAATAGCCCTGGCTGTCCTGGACTCACTTTGAACACAGGCTGGCCTCAAACTCACAGAGATCTGCCTGCCTCTGCCTCCTCAGTGCGCCACAGAGAAAAATTAGAATGGAAAAAACCAAATATGAAATTCTGCCACCTACTGATAAGCATTATTAATATTGTCTTACATATTCTTTTCCAGACCTCTTAACAGATGTTTGCACGTTCACAATTAAGATCCTTCCCTTGTATCTTGTTGCATATTAGGGAACTATACTTCTTACGCAAGCTAGAATCAAAATGCCTCTTGATTTTTCTGTAAAGGAAGTATTCATTTTTTGGAATTGTACTGGAATAATGAGCAAAGATAAATTAATCACCTACAGTTATTTAAATTTGGTAAATAATTGATTAATTGAACGGTTTGATTGAGTGCTTCTGGTTGAAGAATGTAGAATATGTAAATAGTAACTACAGAATAGTGGAGTTTTGGTAGACTTTTTCTTTTTTAGTTTTTGTTGTTGTTGTTGTTGTTGTTTAAAGGATCTCATTCTATAGCTTAGACTGACCAGAGATTCACTCTGTTGCTGAGGATGGCCTCAAATAACAGTCCCCAGAGTGCTAAGATTGTAGACACCAGCCACCTGGCATCTGTCTGGTTTCTTTTTCTTGTGGAAACAAACAAACAAAAAACTTAATTTGTACATACTGGGAGCCCCTTTATTTGTGCCTCCATGCAGAGAGAGGTTAGCACATTGTAAAACCTGTCCCTTCCAGCTGTCATCCACGGGCCAGCTATGTTGACATAGCAGAGAGTGCATTACAGTTGCAGATTCTCTGGCACCATCATAGGTGGCTGAATTTCAGTCCTCATTAACCAGACCCCTCCATGATTCATATTCACAGTAAGTTTGAGAAGCATAGTTAAAAGTACCTCATAGGGCAGAAGGAAAAATTGGGAAACAGTTTTTATTGAACTCTACCTGTTGCCAGTCCAGAAAAGTTGATTGGCATCTAAAGAAGCCTCAGAGGAAATGGGAGAAAGCAGCATATTGCCAACAACATTAAAAAAAAAAAAAAAAAATAGCAAGATGTGGTACCTTTAATCCCAGCACAGGAGGCAGAGGCAGGTGAACCCTATAAGTTTGAGGCCAGCCTGGTCTACATAGTTTCAGGTTAGTCAAAACTACATAGACCCTGTCTCAAAAGAAATAAAACAAATTGTGTGTGTGTGTATGCATGTGCGCGCCCATGTGCACAGATGCACATATGTGTACCACAGATACATGTGGATGTCAGAGAACAATGTGGGGGACTCACCTTTCTCTTTACCTTGTTGAGGCAGGGTCTTGTTTTGGCGTTCTCTTGGCTAGCTGACCTGTGTCTGCCTCCCATCTTGCTGTAGGGTGTTGAGATCCCAGAACGTGGCTTCCTTGGGTCTTAGGTTTGCTCAGCTAATCCTGAGCCAGCTTCCTGACCACCCAACAATCATTTTTAAATTCAAGTGTCTTTTATATAACATTTTGTTACTTCATAATGGCCTATCAACATCTATAAGTAGGCATTCTTTTTAACTTTTCAGTATCTATAAAATTGGAGATTTTGCTCAACCATTCTTCCTGAATTACATTTTATAAATTTGTTACTTAGTTTAAATTTTTCCAGCATTCTGCTTCATTAGATCTTTAAGAGATAGTCAAGTACATGTATAGCTGTTTCAGGTTTTCTTTTGATTAGAATATTATCATTTAGCCTTGTTTCCTTACAGTTGGAATGTTAAAGAAATTCATCAGGCCGCTGACTATCTCAAAGTAGAAGAGGTAGTAACTAAATGTAAAATAAAGATGGAAGATTTTGCTTTTATTGCTAGTCCCTCTTCTACAGAAATATCTAGTATTACTGGAAACATCGAATTGAATCAACAGACCTGTCTCCTTACTCTGCGAGATTATAACACTCGGGAGAAATCAGAAGTCTCCACAGACTTAGTTCAGGCAAATCCGAAACAACGGGCATTGACAAAGAAATCATCTCAAAGTAAAAAGAAGAAAAAGGCTTTCAATTCCCAGAAACCAGGACAGAATAAAGCAGTGCATTACTCGAGTGATGGTTTAGAGAGTGCATCTGTTGAGTTATTCCTAGACACAAGTAAGCTGTCCTCACCTGTAGTTGAACAAGTTGTCCGAGGAAGTGATAATTCAGAACTCGAGTTGACCTCAGTTGTGGAAAATACTTTTCCAGCACAAGATAGTGTGCAAACTGTTACAGTCAAACGGAAACATGGAAAATCACAGTCACATTGTGCTCTGAAAGAACACTCCATGTCTAATATAGCCAGTATAAAGAGCCCATATGAGCTAGAGAATGCTGGGGAGGAGCTGGATCCACGGTACTCCAAGGCCAAGCCAATGTGTAACACATGTGGAAAGGTGTTCTCCGAAGCCAGCAGCCTGAGAAGGCACATGAGAATACATAAAGGAGTCAAACCTTATGTCTGCCACTTGTGTGGAAAGGCATTTACCCAGTGCAACCAGCTGAAAACACACGTAAGAACTCACACAGGTAAGACTGGTTGGTGGGAAGGTACATTGTTTGATTTTCTTGCTGGGATGGTTTTGTGGTGGTGGTGTTTTGTGTTGTGGTTGGTACTGGGAATTGAACCCAGGGCCTCAGCTCAGTGTAATTGTACTGTAAGTTGTATCTCCAGCCTGCAGAGGTGACATTAGCATACAACACTAAGTTGTGTCTCCAGCCTGCAGAGGTGACGTTAGCATACAACACTGATTGCTTACCAAAAAAAAGTTGCCATATTTTTTTCGTCTGTAAAAGGTTTTAGTATTAGACTCCTAAAATTTTATTTGTAATTGTAACAAAGTATTTAATGGCTCTTTGTTATAATTGACATTTTAAGTTTTAGTGCATCAGGTTCTTACACCATTTTCTCATAGTAAACATAAGCTTGGTATGTTATACCCACCCCCCTTCTGGAGGTTGAACCTAGGCCCTTGAGCATGCTGTGCAAGTATTCTACTACTAAGCTATAGCCCTCCTTCCTCCATATGGCTTTTTTATTCTGAGACAGTGTTTTATTAAGTTGCTCAAGATGGCCTTGAATTTGCAATCCCCCTGCTTCTGCTTCCAGAGTAGTTAGCATTATAGAGCTGTGTCATTAGGGCTAGATTGGTTCTAGTATGTTTTTTTAAACATTTAACAGAGACAAATACTAAAACTCAGACAAATTTTCACATATTACCAGTACTTCTCAGTACATGTTCTGAGACTTCACTGGTTTTTGAACGTCATTCTTTCTCACCTTTTCTGTTTACCCCTGATTGTGTAAGTTTCTGCTGGCAAAGTATGAGCATCCATTGGTACCTTAGGTTTGTATGTTCTACATTTTCCTTGCTGATCATCTTTCAGTGTTCTGATTACTTTCTTTCCTACTAGTATTCTCAGTAGTCCAGAAAGACATCCCATTTGCTTCTGTTACTTAGAAGTTACCATATCTGAAAAACAAAACAAACAAAAAAAACAGTACTATTGCTACTCTTAAGCCTTAAGAGTTTATGGCTTTAGCAAGTAAAATGGGATGTTTTTTCCTAATACAATATGATTGTTCCTAATATCTTCCTAATACAAATGTTACTGTTCTTTTAGGGGAAAGGCCATACAAATGTGAACTGTGTGATAAAGGATTTGCTCAGAAATGCCAGCTGGTCTTCCATAGTCGGATGCATCATGGTGAGGAAAAACCCTATAAATGTGATGTGTGCAATTTACAGTTTGCAACATCTAGCAATCTCAAGATTCATGCAAGGTAAAAAAAAAAAAAAAAAGAGTTGTTTGACCTTTAAGTTAGTATATTATTACAGTCTAATGGGTACTGCATTTCCTATGAATTCACAGAGCAAGCAGAGTCAGCCTTAATTATGTTGTGCTGACCATGGAGCGAGAGGATTTGATGTTTGTCCTACCAGGTTTTGTTCATTTTGTGTATGTTTGTGTATACCTACACTATGAATGGCATGCCTGTGGAGGCTAGAGGACAATCTGAGGGAGTTGGTTTTCTCCTTCCACAGTGTGGGAACCCAGTGATCAAACTAGGTGGCAGGAGGCACTTTTACTGAGTCAACTCACTGGCTCCATATTTTCTTCTGATTAAGTTTTTCTTCGTGAAATAAGAAGCAACTGTCAGCTGGGTATGAAGGTGCTAGTTGTTTGAGGAAAAACTTTTGACAAGGAAGATGGACTAGGAAAATAATTGATTTTATGTGGGGTTCAGTCATAACTATTGTGCTGGTTGGTTTTTGTCAACTTACACAAACCTAGAAAGAGGGAATCTTAGTTGAGAAAAGGCCTCCTTTTCTATAGGCAAGTCTGTAGGTCATTGTCTTCTTTAATGAGTAGTGTGAACGGTCCTAGCTCACTGTGGTTGGTGCTACCCTTGGGCAGCTAGCAAGTCAGTAAGCAGCAGTCCTCCATGACTTCTGCTTCAGTTCTTCAAGTTCTTGTCCTGACTCCCCTCAGTGATGGGTTGTGATGTGGACGTATTAGGTGAAATCAGCTCTGTCCTCCCCAGGTTGCTTTGTGGTTATGATCTTTATCACAGCAAGAGACCCTAAGACAACTATATAGTGATGACAAAAATAGTTTTTATTTTGTTTTGTTTTCTGTTTTTTTCAAGACAGGGTTTCTCTGTGTAGCCTTGGCTGTCCTGGACTATTTTGTAGACCAGGCTGGTCTTGAACTCACAGAGATTTGCCTGCTTCTGCCTCCCAGAGTACTGAAATTAAAGGTGTGTGTCAGCACACCTGGCTAAGTAAGTAGTCTTAATCTGTTGAGATGCAGTAAATGTGTATGAAAATTATATAAGAAATACTTTGTGTATACATTGACCTTCAGATTGCTTTACTTACTGTTGTGTTACTTTATATTTGCTAACAGGAAGCACAGTGGAGAAAAGCCATATGTTTGTGATAGATGTGGGCAGAGATTTGCCCAAGCCAGCACACTGACCTATCATGTCCGTAGGCATACTGGAGAAAAGCCCTATGTGTGCGACACCTGTGGGAAGGCATTCGCTGTCTCCAGTTCTCTTATAACTCATTCTCGGAAACATACAGGTAAGAGTTTTAATACAGAGAGACTGCTTTGGTAGTAAAGCTATAGATAAAAGAAATGGGAATTGGGACTTTACAAAAGGTAGATTATAGACTTTTTAGATATCTACATTGGTGTTTTACATGATTTTCACATAACAATTAGATTAAAAACTTAGCATTTTCTAGAATAATGCAAGGTAGGTGAAAATTTTTTATTATTAGCTTATTCTCATTAAAGTAAGATAATTCTGGAAATATATAATTTGAATTGAGGCATGTTTTTATGAATACAGAAAACATTGCTAGCCTTTTTTGAAAATTTGTCTTCTTTGAGTAAGGGTGTGAAAGGGAAGTTAAGTGGGATATGGGTTAGGCAGGAACCTGATTTGTGACTTGGACCCTCTTTTGCATACACATTCCAAGATCTGCAACTCAGACAGATGTGTCATATGCAAATTATTATTTTTGAAACAAAGCATACTGGTTAGAGTCTCTTGTAAGGTGGGCTGTTGGCTATAATCTTCCTTAGATGTTTTTATTCTTCTTGAATAATATAGTAGATAGTAAGATTTGAAATGTGGCTTGAATTTAACATGTTCTCAAACATAAGAATCAAATTGTTTACCCTGGTCATCTCTTCTAGCAGAGAAGAGATATTTGCAGAAACAGTGTTTTAGTGTGTGAAAAATATCAAGCTAGATAGATAGAACAAAATAATAGTTCATTACTTTGAATTACTGAAAATGCCTCTAAGATACAATGTAGAAAGACTTCCATATAGATGATAAATTTAAAAACTTACTTAAGATCACTTGTAATTGATAAATATTATATTGGTATAGTACACCACTTCGCTATCTTTTATTTTCCATCTAGGTGAAAAACCATACATATGTGGTATTTGTGGGAAAAGTTTTATTTCCTCAGGAGAGCTCAACAAACACTTTCGATCCCATACAGGTCTGTGTTTAGGGAGAACGCATCATTTTTTGTTCTCTCTTAATTCCTTTGTATGTAAACCTTCGCTTTGAAACCATTGTGGAGTATCTAGTTTATAGTATCTAGTCATAACAAGTAGTAACAAGTTTTTAATGTATAAATATCAGCTTTTTGTTTGTTCATTTCTTTTTTTTTTTTTTTAGTTGTTTAAAGTATAATTTAAATTTGGTTAAGAATTGTGTAGATTTTCCAAGAAATATGTTAGATATCCGTCATTTCCAAATAAATACAGTTGCATTAAATTAAGTAGATACATCAAACAAGGAACCATCAGAATTATAAAGTAGCATTCTTTTGTGCAAGTTTCAGGAATGGATTTTATTATCAACATGTTTGTTATAACATTTAATATGTAATATAAAGAAAATGTTGACTATTAAAAACTAAAAGGAAAATGCTGCTTTTTAAATATAATGTTCACTTCTCTTCAAAATCCGTCTTCATAATTTTTATCCAGAGTAATATGAATGACAAGAGGGGCTTGGTAAACTCCTGTATCCTGCCACCTCCTGTGTCCTCATGTTCCTTCACTTTTGGGGTAATGCATTAAATATATTTAGTCATCACCTGACCCCACAGTGCTGGGAGCAAACAAAGTTTTACAGAAGCTAGGTGTGCAGTCTAGCTGAGCTGTGTCCCCAGCCTTAACAGTATTTATCTGAAAATCATTAAGGTAGAAAATTGTTAGTGTTTCTTAGAGAACTTCCTCATTTGTGAGGAATCTGAGAATTAACATCAGAATTCTACTTTTTCCCTAGCTCTAAAGCAGGTTTTAGCATATGAATGACATCCAGTATGCACTTGGCAATCAAAGAGTAGATTATTTTTGAGAACTTCAGATAATGAAAATGCTTAATTTACCCCAAAATTGGGCTATATTTTCTAAAGTAAAAGCATACCTATGTGTATAGGGTTTCTCATCTCACAGTTATAATTATGTGATTAAAATAATTTTGGCTTTATTTTCATCAACATTTCATAGTTTTGTATCAGCTAGCAATTTTTTAGATACTCAGTTTTTAAATTTCTCACCTTGTTTTTCAGGAGAACGACCATTTATCTGTGAATTATGTGGAAATTCTTATACAGATATTAAAAATTTAAAGAAGCATAAAACAAAGGTCCATTCTGGTAAGTGCATGTGCGTGAACACTTGCTGCTTTATTGGTGCTTGTCTTCAGCATGTTGACATAAACATTTCAACAGTGTAAACTGGATGGATATTTAAAAGTAGACATAGGCAGCTATGGCAGTACATGCTTATAATCTCAGTACTCTGGAAGCTGACACAGAAAGAGCTCGAATTCAAGGCCAGCCTGGCTAGACATCTAGCTGCAGGCCAGCCTGAGCCAAATAGTGAAACCCTGTCTCCAAAAACAAATCAAAATAATGCCCAACAAAATACTAGAGGCTTGTGTGCTCAAGCCTGATAACCTAAATTTTATTCCAAGATCCCACAGGTAGCAGGAAAGAATAATTCCCTGATAGTTGTCCTCTAACACACATGTACACACAGACATATACACATATACATATGTGTATGTATACACATATACACATATACAGACATATACAAAATAAATAAGCAAATTAAATTAATTAAATGAAGTAATTTTAGAAAACAAAACAGTAGTAAAAACTTAAATATATACATATAAAGTAGCTAATTTTAATTTACAGAAAATTCCTCTTTCCGCTTTTTTAAAAATATTGAACTTTATAAGAAAATAAAATAATTTAAAGATAATTGGGAGCTGAAGTGATGGATCAGCATTTAAGAGTACAGGCTGTTCTTTCAGAGGACCTGGTTAGAGTCCCAGTACCCACATGTCAGTTCACAACTGTCTGTAATTCTAGTTCCAGCGGATCTAGTTCCAGTGTGTCCAGGGTCTACTGGCCCATAGACCCCATACACACATGCAGGCAAAATACTCATACAGATAAAGTAATAATAATAATAAAATATTTCCTCCCTTAAAAATCTGACTTGCCACAAAGCATGGTAGCACGTGCCACACACTTGTAATTCTATAACTTAGGAAACAGAGGAAGGAAAATTTATGCTTCAAGGTGAGCTACATAGGCAGGCCCTGACTCAAAACCAAAACCAATCAAAACCAAAAACCATGACCTGTGAGGGTTTTTAAAAATGAAAGAATTTATAAGCAAGCTATATCATTATTTTCCATAATGCAGTCTAGGTGATTCAGTGTGACTACAATAGTTAGGAAGAAAAGAGCTATCTTGAAGATGGAAATAGGACCCTTGTAGCTCAAAAATGTTTTGTCAGTAATAGGAAGCCAGATTGCAAGTATTTAGCCTATTGCTTAAAACAGATCCTTGATGTACTGTACTTATCATGACATTCTGCCAAGATGAAAAGTATCACGCGTGTGAAGATAATAAGCAGATGAAAAATGCTTACCTAGCATGCATGAGGCCCTAGGTACAATATTTAGCACCCAATATATAATATATACATATTATATATATTTTATTTCAAGGATTAAGGTAGAAACATCTGAAACCTGCAGTGAGTCTACTCAGCAGTCCATTTAATACCTGTGGTTACAATTGTAGGGCTTATGTAGTTGAACAGCATATAGCCCTGGCTCTCTGAGAGCTTATAACTCGGATGTACCATCAGAGATCTAAGTTGTAGGACATTGTAAATACCAAAGTGCTAAAGAAGAGGTTCTCCTGAAGTGTTAGAATGGGCTTAAGGTAACCTACAGTCTCAGTGCTCCCGATGCGGAATGGTTATAAGTTCAAAGCCAACTTGCACTACATAATGACAGTATCTCAAATAGGAGGGCTGTCAGGAAAGAGCAGACTCATTTTTACAGAAATTGAAGAGAGAAACATTGAGAGCATGAAGCTGGGCAGGACAGGCTCATTGCAAGCAGAGGACATTCTGATGAGTCACTAAGACAAGACAGCACAGGTTATTTCTTGGCCTGTTAAACTGCAGAACACAGAGAATTGCAGCTTAATGTAAGCAGATTATATACTGTCAGCTCTCTGATGAGGCTGCAGAAATGTCAGCATTTTGGGGTGGCAGCAACATGTTAGAGCCAGTAGTAAAGTGAAGGCAAAGGTGCATCTTTAGGCAGTGTGGTTATTTCCCTAGCTGAGCAGACTTTCTCACCCCTGGAGATGTATGACGAGAGGCGCACTGCAGACTTGAGACCAGCAGAGTACTGTGGACTCCTCATTAAAACAGTCAGTGGCCAGGCCTAGTGGTGCACGCCTGTAATCCCAGCACGTGGGAGGCAGGTACATCACTGTGAGTTTGAGGCCAGCCTGATCTACAAAGTGAGTCCAGGACAGCCAAGGCTAAACAGAAAAACCCTGCCTCAGGGGGGAAAAAAATCAGTGTACAAAGATTTTTTTGGTTGCCTTTCTGCACTGAGAAGGAATTATAGAAGTTTAAGTTAGCATTTACCCTCAAGGAATTTATGGCCTAGTTAAGGATTCGAGGCATGACTGAGTAGAGTGTTAAACTAAGAGAGAGAGGAACGGGTGGTACAGGGAGGAATGTGAAGTTTGGTAAATATGTAATAGGGTAGATGAGAATAAGTTCACCCGGGTTTAGAATGATTAAACATGTTTACATAATGGTATTTGTGCTTGACCCTGTTCTTGAAGCCCAGACATCCCCAGCGTAGTATCACTGCACATTGATGTGAGAGAAACAGCGTGCACATGGATGTGGAGGCTGAGTGTAATTTCTAGGACCTATAAGTTGACCTCAGACAGTTGTTTGGTTTTTTTTTGCCTTGTTAAAGGCAGTGTACTTTCTGGCTTCCATTTCAGGTACAGATAAAGCCCCAGATTGCAGTACAGATGACCATGCTGTAAGTGAACACGATTCCCTACAGAGAAGTCCTTTGTCAGAAACGCTAGATGTGAAGCCTTTTGATATGACTCTACCCTTAGCACTCCCACTTGGAACTGAGGACCACCATATGCTCCTGCCTGTCACAGACAGTCAGTCTCCTCCGTCAGATACACTGCTGAGGTCAACTGTGAATGGATATTCAGAACCACAGTTGATTTTTTTACAACAGTTATATTGACTTTGAGGACATGAAATTGCTAAGACATCCCTGGCAGTAAACATTAACATCTCTGGTAAGGTGCATATTCATATTAGTCCCCATTCATTTGACCATTGTTTCTTACTCACGGAAGTAAAGGCACCTGATACTGCATCTGTCAGTGCTTGTTTGGATTGTTTGCTATTTTGTAAACAGTCAGCCTCTCAAGGAGCGACTTCCACTGTGCTAGCACTGTTTTGGGTAGGTAAGTTTTACACACTGTTAAAGCTGCCTTAATTCCATTTTTGTTTTGCATTTTAGACTTATTTGTTCTTAAGGTAGAATCTGACCTGTGGAGTTTTTTGTTGTTCTCTCCTCACCATTTAAGCAAAATCTACAGTAATATCAACTTCAAAGCATTTCTGTTTGTAAACCTTGTGGACCAGTATGTAAACGTTGGGGGGATTAAATTTCATATTTATGTCTATGAAAATGTAGATATTAAGGAAGAATTGTGCTATTTATTAATATATTCCTTTAGAGGTAACTTTTCTAGTGAAGCCAAAAGAAGTATTTCTCTTAAAACCCAGAAAAATGTATGTAAATTTTTGTTCATTTAGAATGAATTCAGTATTCTGAAGGAAACCAGTAGTCAGATCAATTTTTGTTTTGAGTTAAGACTATATTTTTTTAAATAGATATTTGGTGTTTTTAAGTGGTCAAAAGACAGTTTTGGGATTTGATTCATTTTATATTTTATTAGATTTGTAGATTATTGGAAGTGACTATATAACAGGTTTTGAAAATTTTTGATAAGCCTATCTTGTATCAGTTATGCACTTTTTAAAATAAATATTTTAAAAAATTTTTAGATATAAAATACATACTAGAAATCACTTGGCTTCTAAATTTGATATATTACATAGAAAAATCAAGAAACTTGAGTAGCATGCCTGAGGCAACACACATACACACAAAGAGAATTAATAGCCCAACTTCAGTTGTAAGCTACACTTTTGGATTATCAGTTTGTTTACCATTTTATATTTGAGTTTTCTATAAGAATGGGTTTTTAAATTTTATGAATTAAACTGCAACTTTGACTGTTGGCTGTAGCTTTATAGTTGTCCTTTCCATCCCAGATGGGTGTGGAGAGCTCAGTGTCGCCCGTCCTTGGTGCTTGCTGCTCCTCTTCCCATCTCACTGTTCCCCTGCACCGTCATTTATTTTACTTTGCGTTTTAAGTTATCAGCTTCAGAGAGTCAGTTTCCATAGCACTGATGAAAATTGTGCTGAGTATTTCTATTTTCTGCCATGAATTAGTTATGTCTTACTTGTTTTCATGATTTAAACTACACTGAAATAAATTTGATGTATTTATTGATACTGAATTCTTCAATCATTTTTCATGTTTGAGAAGACATAATAAAATCAGTTAATTCTTATAGACTGGAGATGTCTTCACCATTTCTTAGAGCACACAGCATTTTCCCAGTAAATTACCACCATTAAAACTGACTTAACTGGAGAGAGTATTAATTCCACCTTTGTATAATGAACTTATTTTCTAAGTTAGCTAAAAAAAATCAGTGTGTATGTTAAATGAACATACTGAGTTTGAATAAATGTTGTAGGTATAAAATGTTTAACTAATCTATTCTGGTTTAAGATCAATAAAAACATACTGGAATGTAACAAATCTAAGGAAAATTACGACTCAACCCTTTTTAACAACTTTGCCATAGTGGAGAAGTTGTGTTTAATTCACAGCTTCATTAATCCAAGCATATAATGAACATTTTTTAAGTGTTGTAGTTAACTGGGTATGGTAGCACATACTTGTAATCGCAACATTCTGGAAAGTTAAGGCAAAAAATTCTAAGAGCTGTTATAATGAGGTCTTAGCTATATGAGGTAAAAAAAAAATTGTCCAGTTTCCTTAAATGTAAAGATAGTCCTTTTTTTTTTTTTTTTTTTTTTGTCATTTATTTATCTTTAAATTTTGAGGTGGTCTCATTGCATAGCCCAGACTGGCTTAGGACTCCTGTGTAAGCTAAAGTGGCTTTACACTCAAGGTCTTCCTCCCTCATTATCCAGACATGCAACACCTAACTTGGTAATTGGCATTTGAAAGCTCCCAACTTGTTATTTTCAGTGTTTTTCATGTAAATGGAATATGGAATAGTTAAGGTTATTTTTTAAATTTGTGTAATCTGCATATCTAAAATTATTTTAAGTTGATAGGGGTTTAGTCGTCATTTGCTCTTCCAGAATTATATGTGAAGAACGCTTACAGAGTGTCCTTGTCATTCTTCTAATAATCTTTTAATACTACACTGTTACTTATTTTAATGTGTACATACTTCAGAGGTATCTGGTAATCAGTCTCACACAAGAAGTCATTGAGTTAAGTTCTTTAACTATTTTCCTATGATGCATTGTTTTCAGAAAGATTCTTAATTGTTTATTACAGAAGGACAAAGTCTTTCTTTAAAATGCTGAATATTTTAGAATATATCTTCTAATTTTGTTTTGTATTTGTATCTTATTTTAGTGTAACCTTTTAAACTTTTTAAAAAAGGAATTGTAGGTTATATATTAAATCAGTTTTACTGTTAAATATTATTCATGTTCAATTCCTTAGGATCATTTCAGTAGACAAGAAAAAGAAAGCTTTTTCAAGAAGGTTCTGTGTTCATTGCAAAAGTAGTTTATCATTTCTGTATGTTTTAATCCTACAAAAATGGCAAATATCAGAGTAGTTAAAGAAGGTAGTTAATTATATACACTAATTTTTAAAATATGCCAGGCCAATAGTTATATAGTGCCTTTACTCCTATCAGAGTGGAGTTTAAAGTTAATGACATACATGCCCACTTCAATTTTATCTACTGAGTCAGATGGTGATGGGGTGGGAGGAGTTGCAGAATGGGCAGAGGTTTATAGAAAAGCCCTACAGTTGATTTCGGCATGTACCAAACATTGGGAACTGTCATCCTAATCCTAAGCATTTCTTGGTGCTATGCCTTTGAGAAGCATTTAAAATGAAGTTCTTGAATATAATTTTTTATCTTTTACCTGGAGATTTTTAGTCTATTTTTTGGCTAGAAATACCACTAAATAAAAAGATTAAGTCTGCATTTTCACTCACTGTTTTGAATAACAATTAAGTTGAGTTATTGGAATTTTGATTTCTTTGTTTTTTTAGTCTTGAGACAAGGTTTTACTATGTATCACTGTATTGAGATTGAATTTATTAAATAGCCAGATTAGCCTGGAATTCACAGTAATCTTCCTGCCTCAACTCCTCTGTCCTGGGATTATACCTACGCACCACACTCTGTGTTAATGTCTTGAGACCATGGTGTAGTCTGTTCTTTTGCCCTCTTCAACCCTGACTTATTGATGAAAGCTTTGTTGTATTTAACGATTTATCATATAAACATAGTAACCTTCCAAAAAATGTACATAAATAACTCCATTCAGTGTATAGTTAAGCAAGAAAGCTAAGATTAGTAGCAGTAAACTGAGCTGAAATGCTGAGCAGTATAGTCCAGGAAGTTAAGAAAAGAAAGTTATGCATTCAAGAAAGGGTCATTGTTCACCTGGATAGGCAAATAAAATGAATGATGGAATTCACACATAGCTGACTGAAAAGCTGGGCAGAATGCAGAAAGTATCAACCGAGAAGGAAGTAACAAGCCAGGTGCAGGCCTATAATCCCAGACTCAGGGAGGCAGAGGCAGAGAGAGAGAGAGAAGTAACAGACAGAAATGTCTAACCCTGCATCCATACTGACTTACTTGAAATAGTACTTGGGCAGGGTGACTTAGCTAGGCCACATTTTATAGCCCGGGATGTCACAAGGTACCATAGTTGATTTAAGGACATAGATTAGACATCCATGTTTGTAACATGATTTCATACTAGTGGACTCAGCTGACCTACCAGAGAATCAATCCTTAGGCAAACAGCTGGTCAGATTCTCAAGAAGCTGAGCTGGAAAATGCAGCCATGTTAAGTAAGATATGTAAATATAGAGGTCCTTCAGAATTGGCTTGAAGTCAGTGAATAAAGTCAAGAGTACTGGAGAAAGCTGTTTTAAGCAACAAATCGTGTCTCAAACAACAGGACACAGTAAAACAGTTTCATAGAACAGTATGAAAATGAGAGAATGGAGGCTAAACAAGGTCAGCATTGTTGAGGTTTTCTTTTTTCCCCCATACATTCTATTATGATCATGCTCTTCCTGTCCCAGTTCCTCCCAGATCCTCCACACCTCCCTACCTGTACCCAACTCCAGGCCCTTTCTTTCTCCCTCTCTTTAAAAAAACAAAAAACTCTCACACATACAAACTGAAACCAAAATACACAGAAAAAGACCACTAAGAAAATAACCCAAACAAAGCATTTTGAGACAGTCTACAAAAATCCCATTGAGTTCTTTTTGTGTTGACTGTCTACTACTGGGCATGAGGCCTATCCTTCAGTCTGGCTAACATACCCAAGTGATACTCTTGGAGAAACTATTTTCCATATACAAATGGATGACAGTAGCAGATACCTTCTTGGTTAGGGGTAGAAGCCCATGTCTACTTCCCTGGACCATGTCTGACTTTAACTTATGTGGCTTTGTGTGTGCTACCTAGTCTCTGGGTTCTTATGTCCATCAGTCCTATTGTATCTGGAGGACACTTCTTTAAGAGTCATCTATCCCCTCGGGCTTTTAGAATCTTTCCACCTCTTCTTCCACATAGCTGCCTGAGTCTTGAGAAGAGGGTTTGGTGAAGACAGCCTGTATAGGACTGTGTGCTCCAAAGTCTGTCTTCATATTGTCTAGTTGTGGGTCTCTTTGTTACTTCCCAACTATTGTGAGAAGAAGCTTCTCTGAGATGGCTGTGTGATATACGATACAGTGATAATTGGGGCGGGGGTTGCAGAAATAGTAGTAATCTTGTTACTATGTTTCTTTAGCAGAACCATAATATTTGGCTTACTTTCCCTAGGTCCATGGCCTATCTAGTCTCAAGTTCTTGGCCACCAAGTAGTTGTTTACAACTTTTCCAATGCTGAGACCCTTTAATACAATTGCACAATCATAAAATTATTTTCATAACTGTAATTTTGCTACTGTTTTGAATTATCTGTGTTTTTCGGTGATCTTAAGTGAACCCTGTGAAAGGGTCTTTCGACCCCCAAATGGCTCACTACCTGCAAGTTAAGAACACCTGCCTTAAATCCAGTCAGAGAGTGGTTGGTTACTCCCCAGCATGTTTGTGCCACCATCATACCTTGTAGGCAGATCACTGGTATAGATCAAAGGGATTGTGACTGGGTGTGGTTGCCTTTCTCCTCAAGTAGTGTACTGTGTAGTACCATGAACACTAGTCAATAGGGAGAAAGCCTTTAGCTAGATACCAGCTAGGCTTCTTTGTGTTCCATGAGATAGACGTGTTGTCTCCAGCAAAAAGGCCTACCATCAGTTTGTGGCGAGCAATCAATAGTCTTGGCAATAGCTTGAATTATTCTGGGTGTTTCCATAGGGCCCTTTGGCCAACAACTGAATTATATGTAGTTCATTCCCAGCACTGAAGTTTCACTTGGTGGTGCATTTTTTCCCCGATTGGGTGACTGCATTTAGATTTATTTCATATATGTACCTATTTCTAGAGTAGGGTTCCCAAATGGCTCTTAGTGTTGGTTGTTCCTCCCCATACTCCCTTCCTTACTCCTCTCTTCCTCACCCCTTCCCATCTAGCCTTTCTACTCCAGTTGTGTTCCCCCCACCTCTTAATATATTCAATTCCTTTTTCCTTGGGAGTTCCTCGCCCCCACCCCACTCGTCCCTTACTAGGTACCTAACCTCTGGTTCTGTGGGTTGTAGCATATGTATCAAAGGCTTTAAAGCTAACATCCACATATGTGTCAGGGTCCTCTAGAAAAACAAGTGATGGAGTGATTATTTGAGTGGCTTATAAGCTGTGGTTTGCCTAGCTCAATAATGGTTATCTCAGAATTCTGAAAAATTAGGCTCTAACCAGCAAAGGAATGAAATTGCCAGCAAGAATGAAGGCAGGCAGGAAAAAAGCAAAGGCTTTCTCTTCCACATCCTTTATATAACCAAGAGGTATGACCCAGAGTTAAGGGGGTCTTCTGACTTCAAATGATCCAGTCAGGAAAAACCCTTTATGGATGTGCCCAGCTGCTTGAGCTTTAGTTAATTCTACATATAATCAAGTTGACGAGCAAGAAAAGCAATTGTAACATATAAGATAAAACATACCATATTTGTCTTTTGGAAGTCTGAGTTATCTCAGGAATTTTTTTTTCTAGCTCCATATATTTACCTAAGAATTTCCTAATTTTGTTTAACAGCTGAATAATAGTCTGTTGGATAAATATATCGTATTTTCAAAGTGGTTATACAAGTTTACATTCCCACCAGCAATGGAGGAGGGTTCCCCTTTCTCCACATCCTCTCCAGCATGTGTTCTCACTTGAGTTTTTGGTCTTAGCAACTCTGATGGTGTAAGGTGAAATCTCAGGGTCATTTTAATTTGCATTTCCCTGATAGCTAAGGATGTTGAGCATTTCTTTAAGTGTTTCTCTGCCATTCAATATTCCTCTATTGAGAATTCTCTGTTTAGCTCTATACCCCATTTTAATTTAATTACTTGATTTGTTGCTGTTTAACTTTTGCTCAGACAATTAGGAATAGTACTACCTCAAGATCCAGCTATACCACTCCTGGGCATATATCCAAAATATGCTCAGGTATACAACAAGGACATGCTCAGCAATGTTCATAGCAGCTTTATTTGTAATAGCCAGAACCTGGAAACAACCAGATGTCCCTCAGTTGAGGAATGGATACAGAAATTGTGGTACATTTACACAATGGAATACTACTCAGCAATTAAAAACAAGGAAATCATGAAATTTGCAGGCAAATGGTGGGAACTAGAGAAGATCATCTTGAGTGAGGTAACCCAGAAGCAGAAAGACACACATAGTATATACTCACTCAGAAGTAGATATTAGCCATATAATATAGGATAAACATACTAAAATCTGTACAGCTAAAGAAGCTAAGCAAGAAGGAGGACCCTGGGTAAGGTGATCAATCTTCATTTAGAATGGCAAATGGGATGGACATCGGATGAGGGAGAGGACAAGGAACAGGACAGCAGCCTACCACAGAGAGCCTTTGAAAGACTGTACCCAGCAGGGTATCAAAGCAGATGGTGAGACTCAGAGCCAAACTTTGAGCAGAGTGCAGGTAATCTTATGAAAGGAGGGGGAGATAGAAAGACCTGGAAGGGACAGGAATTGCACAGGAGAGAAACAGAACCAAAAAAATCTGGGCATGGGAGTCTTCCCTGAGACTAATACTCCAAACAAGGACGATACATGGAGATAACCTAGAACCCCTGCTCAGATGTAGCCCATGGCAGTTCAGTGTCCAAGTGGGTTCCCTAGTAATGGGAACAGGGACTGTCTCTGACATGAACTCAGTGGCTGACTCTTTGATCACCTCCCCCTGAGTGGGGAGCAGCCTTGCCAGGCCACAGAGGAAGACATTGCAGCCAGTTCTGAGGAGACCTGATAGGCTAGGGTTAGAGGGAAGGGAAGGAAGACCTCCCCTATCAGTGGTGAAATAGAGGAGGGGCATAGGAGAAGAAGAAGGAGGGTGAGATTGGGAGGGAATGAGGGAGGGGCTACAGCTGGGAAACAAAGTGAATAAACTATAATTAATAAAAAATAAATAATTTTTTTAAATGTACCATATTTTCATTGTCCATTCATCCACTGATGAACATCTAGGCTCTTTCTAATTTTGCCTATTATGAATAGAGCAGCAATGAACATGGTTGAGCAGATATCTCTGTAGTAAGATGTAGTCCTTTAGCTATATGCCAGATCTTGGCATAAACCTACAGTAGTATAGCCAGATCTTGACATGTATCCCCTGCTTTCTGAGGAACCACCACATTGATTTCCTAGGAGCTGTAAAAGTTTGCATTTCCATCAGCAATGAGAAGTGTTCCCCTATCCCACATCCTCACCAGGATGAGCTGTCATTTGTTTTATTGATCTTGCATATTCTGACTGCTATAAGATGAAGTCTCTTAAAAGTAGTTTCAATTTGCATTTCCCTGATGACTAAGGATGTTGAGAATTTCTTTAAGCATTTCTCAGCCATTGCTATTTCATCTTTATTATCAGATATTTTAAAAGTATGTCACTGATTTTTTTTTTTTGCTTTCAGAGTTGAAGCATTATTAGTATAATATGATCCATGATTATAATCAATTATATTTAAGCAGGATATTAAAAGTCAATTGCTAAAAGGGAAGTAGAAGTCATATAATTTGCTGTGAATTTATACAATTAAGATGTACAGAGGAAGTGGAGTTCTCCTACAGAACTTATACATCTCCTCATGTCCTTATTTAACGGTAAGTCTAGTGAAAAATAGCTTCTTAGCTTACTGTCATCTTTTGGAAGAATGCTGTCTACCTTTTATTTCTCAGATGGTGTCCAAATTATGAAGGGGCCTAAATGACGTAATTGCATCAGAATAAATGGGTCTCTGCATTCTGCTGGCCTCTGAGTAGTAAAAGTGTGTCATCAAATTTTCCTACCCTTGTCAGAACTAGTAGTTGTCTGCAGAACTACCTTCACTTCAGTCACGCATGGATATGAGTCTTCATGGAGACACAGGTGGTAGCAGCCCACTGTAGGGCCAAATGCAGGATGATCACATACGTTCCAGTGAAGTCTCAGGCAAGCTTACTTGCTGTCCCTTCTGCCATCTTCTTCATCTCCCTTGGAAGAATAATATGAACTTCTGGCCCTGCTGTAGCACATAGGAGTAGAATGAGAACACAGCAAGCAAACTATATTGGTAAGGGATATTTGAATGTCTAATCCTGGAAGGCTGTCTCTTTCCAGATTCCTATAGATTCTTACCAAGCATATGGTGGGACAATTCTTCAAGGCCATGGAAAATGGACTACAGCTACACTAAATAACATGAGTGAATTGCATTAATATTGGATGGATAAGAGCAAGGCACAGAAAGGATATGTAATAGTCATTGTCTGTGCAAAGAAGCTTTATTTTCTTGTTTTTGTGAAATTGTTAACACTTGTAAGTAATGCCTAAAAGTCTACATGGAATACTTTTTGAAATTCTGAGCTTTGAAGTCTCTTAAAATCCACAGAGAATTTTCCAGCTGCATCATTTCTGCCATAACCTTTTGGTTAAATGTCTGTAGTGACCTTTCCTTATTATTTTACTGTCTCTGTTTTTTTGTGTTTGTTATTTGTTTTTTATTATAAAAAGAATTACTATAGTTCCGTGGTTTCTTCATGGTTGATATTTTAGTCTCTATATTAAGAATCAGTTTGGTTTTTTTTCCTCAACAGTGGGCAACTACACAAAGTTTTACAAATTTGATAAAAATAACTTGCTCTAATTTATAAAAGAAAAAGTAGACTACTCTAAAAATGATAAGAGAAACCTGTTTTCAAGTTTGTTTCTTATAGATGCTTGCCAACAGGAACAAGGGCATAGCCTGCAGAGGATGATTCTTTATAAGAGTCTCTGTAAGTCGGTGTCCAATAGTAATGCCGCTTAAGGCCATTGGAGACCTCTGCGAGGTAGACACGCTGATCCACCGTATACGGCTCCACATCTGTATTATTTGACAATAGCCGGCCACTCCTTATCAAATCTGAATATGCCTAGAAGTTTTAGAAAAAATGTGTAATTAGGAATATACTTATTCAGTTTAGAGTGGTTATACAAATAATATTAAATTTAGTTATAATTTTGTAGGTTAAAATAAAATATTTTTAATGACATTGCTGAATTTTAGTATTATTCCAGTTAGTATAAGTAAACTTTATTTAATTATACATAAAGTATAACATTATAAAACTGATTTCTAAGTTTTAACCTATAAGGCATATAGGTTTTCCATATATAAGTTTTGTGTGTGTGTGAATCTCTGAGTTCATTCCATATAACACCAGTGCTGTGACCCATGGTCAGATTTTTCAAGTACTCTTAAAAGAGTGGAGAGCCCTGTGTGTTGGCATATGCCAGTAATTCTCAGCACTGCAGAGGCTGAGGCAAGAGGACACTCGGGTTCAAGACCAGGTGGGCTATATTCCTGCCTCTGTCAAATCTGATCAGTAGGACTTACATCTCAAAATAAAGAAATAAAAATAAGCAGTTCCATCTGGAATTCAGTTGATGAATCCTCTGAAGTCAATATGAAACTTTAGTTTAAAATTTTTCCATATGATTAGATTGTGAGCTTTTTATTTATTTATTTACTTATTTAGAATTTTCTTTGTTGTATCCATATGGCTATCCCTATGGCTTCTTAGCGGATGGGTTAAGGGCATAATATACACTGTGAGCTGCTTGGTCAATAAAGTTGCCATTGTAGAAGAAAAAAAAAGCAGAAATTTTGACATGAAAAGATTTCCAAGTTTTGGCTTGCTGGCTGTTGTAGTTCTCCAGTGTCCTGAGTTCCAGAGTCTGCATACAGCCTGTGCTATGTGGGATCCTAAAGGACCTGGGTGTTTTTCTGAAAACTATGGGTAATTTTTAGGGCACTACATATTTTATTTTTAGTCCTTTCACAAACCTTATGCTTTTTTTTTTTTTCTCCTCTCTTTTTCAAATGAAAAGCTTTTTGTCACTATGCTTTCTGTCTGTAAAGTAGTATGATTCTCAGCAGCTCATGGAACTTTCTCCAGAATTGACCACATACTTGGCACAAAGCAGGTCTCAACAGAAATAAAAATTGAAATAACACCGTGCGTCCTATCTGATCACCAGAGATTAAAGCTAAATATTAACAGCAGAAATTGAACAACATGCTACAAATGAAAAGTAGGTCAAGACAGAAGTCAAAAAGGAAATTAAAAAAATTTGTAATTGAATGAAAATGAAAACACAACATACCCAAAACTAGGAGACACAATGAAAACAGTTCGAAGAGGCAAGTTCATAACACTAAATGCCTATATTAAAAAATTGGAGAGACCTCCTGTTTGTAATTTAATGGCACACACAAAAAAAGAAATAACATTCAGAAGGACTAGATGGCAGGAAATACTCAAACTGCCAATAAAATAAAAACAACAACCAATACAGAGACTCAGTGAAACAGAGTTGGCTCTTTAAGAACATAAGATTGACAAACCCTTATCCAAATTAATAAAATTAGAGATGAAAAGGGAACAACAGACACTGAGGAAATCCAGAGAATCATAAAAACATACTTTAAAAATCTGTGCTGCACCAAATTGGAAAATTTAAAAGAAGATAAATTCTTGATATATACCACATACCAAAATTAAATCAAGATCAGATAGGTAATTTAATCAGATCTATAGCCTATAGTAAAATATAAGCAGTAATTAAAGGCCTTCCTAAGCGGGACCTAGACAGATGGTTCAGCAGTTAAGAGTACTGGTTACTCTTCTAGAGGTCCTGAGTTCAATTCCCAACGTCCACATGGCAGGTTACAACCATCTGTAACTGTAGTCCTTTAGTATCCAATGCCCTCTTCTGGCATATGTACATGCAGACAAAAACAACCATATACATAAAATACATTTTAAAAAAATCCGTTTAAAACAAAGTCTTCTAACCCAAAAATGCCTAGGACCAGATGGGTTTAGCACAGAATTCTACCAGAATTTCAAAGAAGAATGAAAGTCAACACCCAAACCATTCCATAAATTAGAAGGACCATTGCTTAATTCTTTTAATGAGGACACAGTTACCCTAATACCTAAACCACATAAAGACTCAACAAAGACAGTTACAGATCAATACCCTTTATCGATAGATGAAAAAATTCTCAGTAAAATACTTGGAAATTAAATTCAAGAACACATCAAAAGGATCATCCACCATGATCAAGTAGGCTTCATCCCAGAGATATGGGGATATTTCAAGACACATTAAGAACTTTTCTACAGCAAATCAATTTTTTTTTTTTTTAATTTGGAGGAATTGAAAAAAAAATGGGTGATGCAGTGATCCTTAATACTTGTGTATGGCTACTAATATCTTTCCTAACAGCTACTTTTTAGGGTTCAAGTTAAAAATCACCCAAAGTATAGTGTGACACCATTCTTTGAAATCATTTATAGAAGGAACTTACAGGTATCTGAGAAGAGCCCAACAAAGGCCTGAGTTGAAAGCACTTACCACACACGTAGCCTCATTGAATTTGTTTCCCCAAATGTAGATCCTAGTTAAAACAGAGTTTGTTTTCATTGATCGTGCAAGTGCAACGAGCCCTTCTCCCTCTATCTTGTTGCTGACTACAGATAATCTGCAGGAAAAAAGATAATGGCAATCTGAAGTCCCATAACAAATATATAAATGAGCATCAGTGTTTATTAAATCTATTTTATTACAGTGTTTAAATTGGTAACTGTGTATGTTCTTTAATCCAAGGAACCTGTATTCTTTTTTTATATAGATTTATTTATTTGTACAGTACTCTGCCTGCATGCCAGAAGAGGGCAGCAGATCTCACTATAGATGGTTATGAGCCACCATGTGGTTACTGGGAATTGAACTCAGGACCTTTGGAAGAACAGCCAGTGCTTTTAACCTCTGAGTCATCTCTCCAACCCCAGAATATATCTAGAAAAGGTACCTACATTTTGAAATGATGCCTTTTTTGCTTTTTCCTTATATTTTATTTTAAGATTTATTTATGCAGCCAGGCAGTGGTGGTACATGACTTTGATCCAGCACTTGGGAGGTAGAGGCAGGTGATCTCTGAGTTTGAGGCCAGCCTGGTCTACAGAGTGTTTTCCAGGACATTCAGGGTTATACAGAGAAACTCTCAAAAAGATTTACTTATATATTTGGGTGCTTTGTCTGCATGTATGGATGTACTCTAGAAAAGGGCATTGGATCCCATTGTAGATGGTGTAAGCCACCATTTGAGTGCTGGGAATTGAACTCACAACCTCTGGAAGAGCAGCCAGTGCTCATAACCACTGAACCATCTCTCCAACCCCTATTTGGTAAGTGTTTGAGTAGATTACAAACATAAGTAATCATGTTAAGTGGTTATCAATTTTAGAATTTGGAATAAATAAGGGTCTGGAAAGATGGCTCAGCAGCTAAGAAAATGTCTTTGCAGAGGACCCGGTTCTGGTCCCAGCACCCACTCAGGTAGCTCACAACCATCTCTAACTCCAGTACCAGGAGATCTGATTCCCTCTTCTGGCTTCTGTGAGCATGCATTCAGTGCATGTACAAACAAGCAAGCAAACACATATCCATAAATAAAATGAGAAATAAAGATTTTGTCATGAATTTGAGTACACAATTATCCTATTAGATTTACCCCAATTTTTTAAAAGATACTACTTAGAACTTTTTGCTTTGGTTAAATAATAAAACCATACTAACGCTTTAAGACTCCTGTTGTGGGAAGTTAGAGTTTCACTGAGGTAGTTTGCGCCTGTGTTTTCTATTCTGTTAAAAGAAAGATCTATTACTTCCAGAGTAGTGTTGCGTTTCAGAACATCAGCCAAATACACCATTCCATCACGAGTTATTTTATTGCTGGGGAAGGAAGCACATTTAGCAATATTTTTAAAACACAAGATATTATTCTGACATTCAAAAGGTACTTCAAAACATATAGTAAGCTTTCACTTTTCATTTGCACAACATCCAAGAAAGAAAATTCACCATGAAATAGTTCTCCCATCGGGCTAGCAGTAAAGTTATTGCAGATATATTACGGTATAAGCTAACCTAAGAAATCCTAACCCTTATAATAAAACTTGATCAACAAGTTCTAACTTCCATTATCAAAAAGAATATCTAACAGATGTGTCTTACGTACTGTGAACTTTTTTGTAAACTGTCCTTAAGAGTTAATCTCGGCATTGTCACTTACCAGCTGACATCAAGGTAGCGTAGGCTACAGTTCAGATACAGTGCATTGCATAGTTGTTGTATACCAAAGTTTTTCATATCGTGTTTACATAAATGTAGTTCAATAAGGACATGATTTTGTTTCAACATTTGGCCTATGTGGACTGTAGACTCTTCCTAAAAATAGATAAAATCTTGTTACTGATTATGAAGTATGACATGTCCATTTTTAGATATTAGGAAAATAAAGTTAGGTGAATATTTTGTTTCTTGGTACAGGGTCTCATTATGTAGCCCAAACTTTGTCTCTGTTGCCACAGCCTCCAGCAGGCTAGTGTCACCACATTTGGCCTAAAATTACCTTGTTAGAAATATTATATTAAGACTCCTAGATTAGGGCTGGAGATATGGCTCACTCAGTAGTGAGTACCTGAGTTCAAATTCCCATTGTCCATATAGGAGCCAGTCATAGCCACATATTCCTGGAACCTCATTGTTGCTGGAAAAGACAGGCAGATCCTGGGAGCTCATGTCCACTTAGCTTAACACCAACAGTGAACTTTATGTTCGGTGAAAATCCTTGTCTGAATGCAATAATGCAGAAAATAATTAAGAAGAGCTCTGATTTCCTGCTCTGGCCTCTGCATGCACCTTCATAGGCATACACACTCATCACATACACATGCAAACACTTCAGACACACAGGGACCCCACAAACAAAAAAAACTGTCGTCCATATTTCATATGGCATCTAAAAAAAAAAAACACTGTTACTACCCAAAATCATATCATTGTGTGTATTGTGTGTGTGTATGTGTGTGTGTGCGTATGTAGCACAAGGAAGTAGGCCAGGTCTCACCATGTAGCCTATACTAATAACTTAGCGACTGTACCGATCGCTATGTGTAGTTCCAAATGAATATTTATCTACTTAGAAAGCAGATACAAAGTGAATTAAAAAAGAAGGTGCTTCTATACTTCTTGAGTTCTTTCTATATTCTGGATAAAGAACTCAAAAAGTCAAAAAGCAACAAATCAAGTAATCCAATTAAAAAATGGGGTAAAGAGCTAAATAGAGCATTCTCAATTGAGGAATACCGGATTACAGAGAAACACTTAAAGAAATGCTCAACATCCTTAGTCATCAGGGAAATGCAAATCAAACAACCCTGAGATTTCACCTTACACCCATCAGAATGGCTAAGATCTAAAACACAAGTGACTATACATGCTGGAGAGGATGTGGAGAAAGGGGAACCCTCCTCCACTGCTGGTGGGAATGTAAGCTTGTACAACCACTCTGGAAATCAGTCTGGTGCTTTCTCAGACAATTAGGAATAGCGCTCCCTCAAGATCCAGCTATACCACTCCTAGGCATGTATCCAAAATTCGCTCAAGTATACAACAAGGACATTTGCTCAACCATGTTCATAGCAGCTTTATTTGTAATAGCCAGAACCTGGAAACAACCCAGATGTCCCTGTATCTGAATGGATACAGAAACTGTGGTACATTTACACAATGGAATACTACTCAGCAATTAAAAACAAGGAAATCATGAAATGTGCACGAAAATGGTAGGATCTAGAAAAGATCATACTGAGTAAGGTATGCCAGAAGCACAAAGACACAAATGGTATATACTCACTAATAAGTGGATATTACACATATAACACAAGATAAACATACTAAAATCTGTACAGCCAAAGAAGCTAAGCAAGAAGGAGAACCCTGGGTAAGATGCTCAATCCTCATTCAGAAAGGCAAATGGGATGGACATTGGAAGAGGGAGAAAACAGGAAGCAGGACAGGAGCCTACCACAGAGATCCTCTGAAAGACTGACTCTACCCAGCAGGGCATCAAAGCAGATGCTGAGACTCATAACCAAACTTTGGGCAGAGTGCAGGGAATCACATGAAAGAAGGGGGAGACAGAAAGACCCAGAGAGGACAGGAGCTCCATAAAGGGGAGCAAAAGAACCAAAAAATCTGGGCCTAGGAGTCTTTTCTGAGACTGATACTCCAACCAAAGACCATTCATGGATATAACCTAGAACCCCTACTCAGATGTAGCCCATGGCAGCTCAGTATCCAAGTGGGTTCCCTGGCAAGGGGAACAAGGACTGTCTCTGACATGATCTCAGTGGCTATCTCTTTGATTGCCTCCCCCTGGGGGGAGAGCAGCATTGCCAGGCCACAGAGGAATACAATGCAGCCAATCCTGATGAGACCCGCTAGGCTAGGGTCAGATGGAAGGGAAGGAGGACCTCCCTTATCAGTGGACTTGGAGAGGAGCAGAGAGGAGATGAGGGATGGTGAGATTGGGAGGGAATGAGAGAGGGGCTATAGCTGGGATACAAATTAAATAAACTGTAATTAATATAAAAAATAAAAAGGTGGATAATTTGGTTTACAATGACAATAATATTTTAAAAGGAAACCAGCAGAGCTATTTGTTACATCTTGTTTGTCTAAACCTCTGCTCCCTCAGTGTGTCCTGTGTTTGTCACTGATTATCCTGATAGCTTAAGACACAGACATTTCTCACTCTGGAGGCTATTTTGTAACCCTCAGCTCTGCTTTATCTGACTCCCTCCCTTTTATAGTGATTTCTAGTTCGCAAATATGTTTTGCTTCTTGTTTTTAAATTTTACAGTCTAGCTGCTTCTAGGCAAAAGGTATGCATGTACACATACATTTTCCCTTCATGATAATTTGAATACCAAAGTCTTAAATTTTTATCAAAATGAAGGCTTAAGTAGGCCACAGCAATTTTGTAAGAAGTCCCTGTAACACATTTTGTGAACAAATCACATAGTTTTGTTCATCTTTAAAAAAATATTTAGACTCCTGTATTTTATGTGTATATATGTCCCTAGAACCAGAGTTACACATGATTATGAGCAGCCGTGTGGGTGCTGGAACAAAATCTGGGTCCTCCGGGCAAGTAGCCAGTGCTCTTAACCACAGGGTCATCTCTCTGGCCACATTTAATGTTGTTTTTAATGTATGTCTACTTGAGGATCCTGGATAATTTGATGGACATATCAGATTACTTTACATAAAAATATGATCAAAATGTCAAGTTTTGGTTAAGTGTAGGTATGGTTCAAAAGAAGAGTTCTATACAGGAAAAAATGCATTTCCAAATATGAAAAATAGCACTTCAAAATGTGGTTAATTCTCAGTTATATGAAGGAGGAACAGTGGGGCAGATTATTTTACGGTATGGACAGTACTTTGAACTTGAAGAAAATTCCAGGTTCATTTGAACAGTGAACCTGTAAATTCATTGTTTGAACTAGATGCTCTGGCTTTCTTCTCCGTTTTTCCTCCTCTTGTGTAAGCCTGTAATAGAATGAACTCTTAATCTCAATTTTTTTTTTTTTTTTCTGGGGATGGGTGTGTGTATGCACACACAATGCCACAATTTACATATGGAGATCCAAGGACAGCATACAGAAACTGGTTCTACGCTTCCATCATGTGGTCATCAGGCTTGGCAGTAGAAGCTTTATTACCCACTGAGCCATCTTGCCAACTCAGGTTCTAATTTCTTTTCTTTTCTTTTCTTTTTTTTTTTTTTTTTTAGTACTTCTCGAGTCCTTACATTTGGATGCTTTGTCTCTATACCAAAGACCATCCTTGCTATTATCTGATGTGAATTTTTTTAAATTATACTTTATTTACTTTGTATCCCCCCTCTAGTTCCTTCCCTCCTCCCCTCCCAATCCCTTCCCTCCTCCCCTTTCTCCACACACTCCCCTCCCCAAGTCTACTGGTAGGGGAGGGTTTCTTTTTCTTCCTTCTGATCTTAGTCTATCAGATCTCATCAGGAGTGACTGCATTGTCTTCCTCTGTGGCCTAGTAAGGCTGCTCCCCCCTCAGGGGTAGGTGATCAAAGAGCAGGCCAATCAGTTCATGTCAGAAGCAGTCCCTGTTCCCATTACTATGGATGCAGGGAATCTTATGAAAGAAATGGGAAATAGTAGTAAGAGCTGGAGAGGACAGGAGGTCCACAAGGAGAGCAACAGAACCAAAAAATTTGAACACAGGGGTCTTTCCTGAGACTCATACTCCAACCAAGTACCATGCATGGAGATAACCTAGAACCCTGCACAGATGTAGCCCATGGCAGTTCAGTGTCCACGTGGGTTCCATAGTAAAGGTTCTAATTTCTTTAAGGAGAAGAATCCCATACAAAAAGCTGTGAAAAAAGCAACCACATTTTTATCTGCCCCCAACAAAAACTTTAATCTATAGAAGGCATCAAGTTCAAACTTGCCAAACTGCTATGTATGCGAAGATGTAATGTTCAGCCATACCAATATGGCAAATGATAAAACAGCTGACATTGGGCTTATATCATGGCTTATGAAACTTTTAGCATACAGACTTTCAATGACTAGGTTTACACAGAACCTGAGTTTCACAAACTTGCTGCATAAGTAACAACAGCTAAATGCATGGAAATCGCCAAGAAGAAACCTAATTATAATTTTTAATACTTTTCTAGTTTTTTTGTTTGTTTTGAGACAGGGTTTCTCAGTGTAGACTTGGCTGTCCTGGACTTGATTTGTAGATAAGGCTGACCTTGAACTCACAGAGATCCACTGCCTCTGCTTCCAAATCTGGGATTACAGGCATGTGCCACCATGCCCAGCCCTTTAATACTTTTAACTTACAAGCTGCAGTTACATATAATTAGGACATTTCTAAGACTGCAGTGTATCCATGCACTATAAACTCCAGTAGGACCTTCGTCTTATCATGGACATTGATCACTCTGAATACAGACCTGTTCTCCATACAGTATAGGCCGGTTCAGGTTTATTCCCTTGATTTTTCTGTTTTGAGTTAGTACTGTAGCAAATGCTATCAAACTTTGCAGTCCCTACAAACAGATAAATGCATTAAGGAAGTTGACAGTGTATGTCTCCTTACATTACAATTACAATTTCAAGATAAGTAACTGGGTTCTCACAAAAACATCTCTTTTTTTCTTGATTTATTTTTTTTTATTTTTTATTATTAGTTACATTTTATTAACTCTGTATCCCACTCCCTCATTCCCTCCCAACCTCACTCTCCCTCCCTCATCTCCTCCCTGCCCCTTTCTAAGTCCAGTGATTGGAGAGAATCTCCTCCCCTTTCATCTGACCCTGTTTTATCAAACTCAGGGCTGAAATCAACCAATTAGAAACAAATAAAACTATTCAAAAACATCTCTTAAAAGTTACAAAATCTCTTTCCTGTGGTGAACTGTTACTATATTCCTCTACCCTGCCCTAAAGTCTGCAGCCTACACAGGAAGTTGCTTAGCATCGCAGTGCCTGTTTCCTGGGTTGCAACTCTGGGCTTTCTCCTAAGTCCTTTAGGTTTTCCCAAATGAAGAGACAGACCCGTGGATTCCAAGTGAAGTCTCATATACTTATATCCTTGTGCAATCATTCCTTTTGATCCTTTTTTTCTTTAATTATTCTCTCATTCAATACACCCAGCCTTTCCCCCTCCCTCCACTCCTTTGAGTTGCCCTCCACCTCCCCTCTCCCCAAGATCTGCTCCTCCTCCATTCCCCTTCAGAAAAGAGCAGGGTGTGCAAGTGAGCTTGTTAAAGAGATTTTCCACAGGTCCTTTAGGTCTTTTTGTCTTTGTGATGTGTGCCACCACAGACACACATCAGCCCCTCATCCAGCTGATCATTAAGTCTGAACACTTGCTACCTCCAAGAGATGTCTCCAATTAGTTCATCTCTGAATGTTTCTATGGCTGTTACTCCTGCCCAAGCCCTCCCCATCTCACATCTGGATGACTGCAGCACATATCCCAATGGTCTGTTGGCATCGGCTTGTTGCCCTCCACCTCCCATAGAGGAGCTAGAGACCTTTTAAAAGCACCAATCAGTACAGATCCATGTGCCCTCAGCTCAACCCTTAATTTTTATTTTTTATATTAATTACAATTTATTCACTTTTTATCTCAGCTGTAGCCTCCTCCCTCATTCCCTCCCAATTCTACCCTCCCTCTCTCATCTCCTCCCATGCCCCTCTCCAAGTCCACTGATAGGGGACATCCTCCTCCCCTTCCATCTGACCCTAGTGTATGTGGCCTGGCAACACTGCTCTCCCCTCAGGGGGAGGCAATCAAAGAAACAGCCACTGAGATCATGTAAGAGACAGTCCCTGTTCCCCTTGCCAGGGAACCCACTTGGATACTGAGCTGCCATGGAATACATCTGAGTAGGGGTTCTAGGTTATATCTATGAATGGTCCTTGGTTGGAGTATCAGTCTCAGAAAAGACTCCTAGGCCCAGATTTTTTGGTTCTTTTGCTCCCCTTTGTGGAGCTCCTGTCCTCTCTGGGTCTTTCTGTCTCCCCCTTCTTTCATGTGATTCCCTGCACTCTGCCCAAAGTTTGGTTATGAGTCTCAGCATCTGCTTTGATGCCCTGCTGGGTAGAGTCAGTCTTTCAGAGGATCTCTGTGGTAGGCTCCTGTCCTGCTTCCTGTTTTCTCCCTCTTCCAATGTCCATCCCATTTGCCTTTCTGAATGAGGATTGAGCATCTTACCCAGGGTTCTCCTTCTTGCTTAGCTTCTTTGGCTGTACAGATTTTAGTATGTTTATCTTGTGTTATATGTGTAATATCCACTTATTAGTGAGTATATACCATTTGTGTCTTTGTGCTTCTGGCATACCTTACTCAGTATGATCTTTTCTAGATCCTACCATTTTCGTGCACATTTCATGATTTCCTTGTTTTTAATTGCTGAGTAGTATTCCATTGTGTAAATGTACCACAGTTTCTGTATCCATTCAGATACAGGGACATCTGGGTTGTTTCCAGGTTCTGGCTATTACAAATAAAGCTGCTATGAACATGGTTGAGCAAATGTCCTTGTTGTATACTTGAGCGAATTTTGGATACATGCCTAGGAGTGGTATAGCTGGATCTTGAGGGAGCGCTATTCCTAATTGTCTGAGAAAGCACCAGACTGATTTCCAGAGTGGTTGTACAAGCTTACATTCCCACCAGCAGTGGAGGAGGGTTCCCCTTTCTCCACATCCTCTCCAGCATGTATAGTCACTTGTGTTTTAGATCTTAGCCATTCTGATGGGTGTAAGGTGAAATCTCAGGGTTGTTTGATTTGCATTTCCCTGATGACTAAGGATGTTGAGCATTTCTTTAAGTGTTTCTCTGTAATCCGGTATTCCTCAATTGAGAATGCTCTATTTAGCTCTTTACCCCATTTTTTAATTGGATTACTTGATTTGTTGCTTTTTGACTTTTTGAGTTCTTTATATATTCTGGATATTAGCCCTGTGTCAGATATAGAGTTGGTGAAGATCCTTTCCCAGTCTGTAGGCATTCATTTTGTTCAGACGAAAGTATCCTTTGCTTTACAGAAGCTTTTCAGTTTCATGAGCTCCCATTTATTGATTGTTGATCTTAGAGCCTGTGGTGTTGGTGTTCTGATCAGGAAGTAGTCTCCTGTGCCAATGAGTTTTAGGCTCTTCCCCACTTTTCCTTCTAACCGATTTAGTGTGTCTAGTTTTATGTTGGGGTCTTTGATCCACTTGGACTTTAGTTTTGTGCAGGATGATAAATATGTATCCATTTGCTTTTTTCTACATGTAGACATCCAGTTAGACCAGCACCATTTGTTGAAGATGCTGTCTTTTTTCCATTGTATGGTTTTGGCTTCTTTGTCAAAAATCAAGTACCCGTAGGTGTGTGGGTTTATTTCTGGGTCTTCTATTCGATTCCATTGATCCACCATTCTGTTTCTATGTCAGTACCATGCAGTTTTTATTACTATTACTATTGCTCTGTATTGCAGCTTGAGATCAAGGATGGAAATACCTCCAGACGATATGCTGTTGTACAGGATCATCTTGCCAATTCTGTTTTTTTGTTGTTGTTGTTGTTGTTGTTGTTTTTGGTTTTCATATGAAGTTGAGAATTGTTCTCTCAAAGTCTGTAAAGAATCGTGTTGGTATTTTGTTGGGAAATGCATTGAATCTGTAGATTGCTTTTAGCAGGATGGCGATTTTCATTATGTTAAGCCTACCGATCCATGAGCATGGGAGATCTTTCCATCTTCTGATATTGTCTTCAATCTCTTTCTTCAGAGACTGGAAGTTTTTTTTTCATACAATCTTTCACTTGGTTCGTTAAAGTCACCCCAAGGTACTTTCTGTTATTAGTGGCTATTGTGAAGGGTGTTGTTTCCCTAATTTCTTTCTTGGCCCTTTTGTCTTTGGTATACAGGAGGGCTACTGATTTTTTTGAGTTAAGTTTGTATCCAGCCACTTTGCTGAAGATGTTTATCAGCTGAACGAGTTCTCTAGTTGAATTTTTGGGGTCGCTCATGTATACTTTCATATGATCTGCAAAAAGTGATACTTTTACTTCTTCCTTTCCGATTTGTATCCCCTTGATCTCCTTTGTCTTATTGCTCTAGCTAGGACTTCAAGTACTATGTTGAAGAGATACGGAGAGAGTGGGCAGCCTTACCTTGTGATTTCAGTGGGATTGATTTAAGTTTCTCCCCATTTAGTTTGATGTCAGCTATAGGCTTGCTGTATAGTCTTTACTATGTTTAGGTATGTGCCTTGTATCCCTGATCTCTCCAAGACTTTAGACATGAATGGGTGTTGGATTTTGTCAAATGCTTTTTCAGCATCTAAGGAGATGATCATGTGGATTTTCTCCTTCAGTTTGTTTATATGGTGGATTACATAGATGGATTTCTGTATATTGAACCACCCCTGCATGCGTGGGATGAAGCCTACTTGGTCATGGTGGATGATATCTTTTATATGTTCTTGGACTTGGTTTGCAAGTATTTTATTGAGTATTTTTGCATCAATGTTCATAAGAGAGTTAGGTCTGAAATTCACTTTTCTTGTTGGGTCTTTGTGAGGTTTAGGTATCAAGGTGACTGTGGATTCATAGAATGAGTTTGGTTATGTTCCTTCTATTTCTATTTTGTGGAATAGTTTGAAGAAAACTGGAGTTAGCTCTTCTCTGAAGGTCTGGTAGAATTCTGCACTGAAACCATCTGGCCCTGGGTGGTTTTTTTGTTTGTTTGTTTGTTTTTGTTTTTTGGTTTTTGTTTTTTTTTTAGAGGGAGACTTTCGATGACTGCTTCTATTTCCTTGGGGGATATAGGACTATTCAATCTATTTACCAGATCATGATTTAATTTTGGTAAGTGGAATCTATGAAATTGTCCATTTCATTTAGATTTTCAAATTTTGTGGCATATAGGCTTTTGTAGTAAGACCTAATGATTGTTTGGATTTCCTCAGTGTCTGTTGCTATGTCCCCTTTTTCATTTCTGATTTTGCTGATTTGGATAGTTTCTCTCTGCCTTTTAGTTAGTTTAGCTAAGGGTTTGTCTATCTTGTTGATTTTCTCAAAGAACCAGCTCTTGGTTTCATTGATTCTTTGAATTGTTTTATTTGTTTCTAATTTATTGATTTCAGCCCTGCATTTGATTATTTCCAGCCATTTACTCCTCTTGGGTGTCTGCTTCTTTTTTTCCCCATCCTAGGGCTTTCAGGTGAATTTGCTTGTATGAGATGTTTCAAATTTCTTCTTGAAGGTACTTAGCACTATGAATTTTCCTCTTAGCATTGCTTTCATTGTGTCCCATAAGTTTGAGTATGTTGTGCCTTCATTTTCATTGAATTTTAGGATGTCTTTAATTTCTTTATTTCTTCCCTAACCCAGCTGTCATTGAGTAGCTAGTTGTTCAGTTTCCATGTGTGTGTAGGCTTTTTGCTATTTCTGTTGTTGTTGAGGTCCAACTTTAGTCCATGGTAGTCAGTTAGGATACAAGTGATTATTTCAATCTTCTTGGATCTGTTGAGGCTTGCTCTGTGACCAACTATATGGTCTGTTTTGGAGAAGGTTCCATGAGGTGCTGAAAAGAAGGTATACTCTTTTGAATTTGGGTGAAACGTTCTGTAGACATCTATTAGGTCCATTTGACTTAGGACCTCTGTAAGTGCCTTTATTTCCCTATTTAGCTTCAGTCTATATGATCTGTCCCTTGATGAGAGTGGAGTTTTGAAGTCTCCCACTATTAAGGTGTTGGGATCGATGTGTGATTTAAGTTTTAATAATGTTTCATTTACAAATGTAGGTGTTCCTCTTTTGGGGCATAGACTTCAGAATTGTGATGTTCTCCTGGTAGATTTTTCCTTTGATAAGAATGAAGTACTCCTCCTTTTTTGATTAATTTTGATTGAAAGTATATTTTATTAGATATTAGGATACCTACCCCAGCTTGTTTTCTGGGTCCATTTGCTTGAAAAACCTTTTTCCAGCCCTTTACTCTGAGGTAGTGTTTATCTTTATTGCAGAGGTGTGTTTCTTGGATGCAGTAGAATGTTGGATCCTGTTTCTGCAACCATTCTGTTAGTCTGTGTCTTTTTATTGGAGAATTGAGTCCATTGATGTTGATAGATAATAGTTATTAATGAATGTTAGTTTCTTTTATTGTGGAGTTGGTGGTGTTACGGTCATTCATTGCTTGTTTTCTTTTAATTTTTGTTGAGAAATTATCTGTATCCTATGTTTTCTTGGGTATAGTTGTTTTTGTTGGAGTTTTCCTTGTAGTATCTTCTGTAGGGCTGGGTTGCTGTGTAGATATTGTTCAAGTTTAGTTTTGTCATGGACTATTTTGTTTTCTCCATCTATGTTTACTGAGAGTTTTGCTGGGTATAGTAGGGCATCTGTGGTCCCTTAAAGTCTGCATGATATCTGCCCAGGCCCTTCTGGCTTCCATAGTTTTTGGTGAGAAGTCTGGTGTGATTCTGATAGGTCTACCTTTATATGTTACTTGGTCTTTCTCCCTTCCTGCTTTTAATATTTTTTGCTTTGTTCTGTAGATTTAATGTTTTGACTATAATGTGACATGAGGAGTTTCTTTTCTGGTCTAGTATATTTAGTGTTCTGTAGGCCTCTTGTATGTTTGTGGACATCTCTTTCTTTTAAGTTGGGAAAAATTTTCTTCTATGATTTTCTTGAAAATATTTTCTGGACCTTGGAGCCTAGAATCTTCTTTTTCATCTATTCCTATTATTCTTAGATTTCATCTTTTCATGGCGTCCTTGATTTATTGGATGTTTTGTGTTTGGAACTTCTCCAATTTTACTTTTTCTTTGAGAGAAGTATCAATTTCTGCAAGTGTATCTTCAGCACCTGAGATTCTGTCTTCCATCTCTTGTATTCTATTGGTGATGCTTACCTTTGTAGTTCCTGATCTTTTTTCTAAGTTTTCCAGCTGCAGGGTTTTCTCTCTGTTTATTGCTTCTTTATTGTTTCTAATTCTGTTTTCATGTCTTGCACCATTTCCTTCATCTGTTTGAATGTGGATTCCTGCCTTTCCATGATGGCCTCTATTTTTTTGTTCATTTCCTCTCTATATGCTACTAAATGTGCCTCTACTTGTGCCTTTATTTGTTTGGCTGTATTTGCCTGTATTTCTTTGAGAGCTTTGTTCGTTTCCTCTTTATTTGCCTCCATTTATGTGGCAATTTCTTTGAGAGATCTGTTCGTTTCTTTTTTGTGTGCCTCTAATAACTGGATAATCATAGCTTTAAAATCATTTTCCTGTGTTTACGATGAATTGAAATATCCATTTATTTTGAGGGTTGCTGGTGAAGCCATGATGTCCTGATTTTGTTGGATGTGTTTTTATGCCAACATCTGGGCATCTGCTTATCTGTAACCTTCGCTGTTTGTTCCTGGAGTCTGTACTTCAGACTGGGTCTGTCTTTCTCTGGTGTCTGGAGTATTCTTCAGGAATATGAGGGAGGTCCACTGGTTTGAGGCTATGCATTGGTGTTTCAGCTGTAAGTAAGGGAGGACAGTCATGGGTGTGGGTGCACAAGATGGGTGAGCAAGCGCAGGCATGTGTGCGGAAGTGCCTTGAAGGAAAGGGTGCTAGAGAGTGTAGATGCCAGAAATGTGGGGTAGGGGGTGTGTGTGCAGGCACAAGAGGGGGTGTGGGCGCTGGCACTGTTTGCAGACACAATGCACATGCACAGGTTCCCTGAATACCTGGTATTCAGATCTGTCTGGGCTACAGGAATTGTTTGCCTGGACTCCACTGGTAGACCCACAGAACAGAGGCTTCAATGTTGAGAACACTGTCCCAAGAATCCCTATGTTGCCCACAGTGGGGCTGTGGGTGGGAGGGATCTGATGTCTGGCTGCTAGTGTAGAGGGACCCTGGATCTGGGACTCTGCGTGTACTCACTTGAAGGTGCACTCACTCTAGCAGGCCTAATCAGAAATCACAGGGGTTCCCCCTGTTCTCTACTCTCAGATTTGGGCCTGCCAGGACAAATGCAATTGTAGGAGATTTGTCAGCTCAGTAGTGCTATAGCTGCAGAACTGGGAGGCTGGTACAGATGCCTGCTGGCAGGCCCTGGGGAGCCTGTTTAGCTGCTTGCAGACCCGGAACCCAGGAGGCTGGTACAGCTGGTAGTCTGCCACTGAGGATCTGGGAAGCCCACCTTCTCTGTCTCAGATACCAAGCAAGGAGTTCTGTGCTAGGAGCAGCGGGCACTGTGGGCCACCTCTGCCAAGGAGGGAGGCCCAACAAGGGGAAGTGCAGGGGAATTGAATATTCATCACTCTCAGTCCCCGGAGAAGTCCCCAGGAGCCCTGAATCAAATGGTCTCCACTCACAGGTTGTCCCCTCTCACCCAGGAAGCCTCAATGTTGATGTTCCGCTGCCCCTCTACTCACCAATTTTGGAGTTTCAGATCTGGTGCATGCTGGTCGCCGCCATCTTGAATCCCTCGGCTCAAGCCTTTTTATGATTTACATTTGTATCAGATTCCTCCTCCACCCCATGATCTGTCCATAGAACCTTGCCATGAACTTGAAGGTATCTAACTCTGTTCACACACTCACCTACCTTGTGACTTGATATAGCTTAATAGGAAAGAGGTTTAGTATTATTTTAGTGTTTAAGTTAATACTATCCTGTTAATTTGGGTTTTATTTTTTGCAGTACTGAGGTTTAAACCTAGGCTCTTGTGTATGCTAGGCATGGACTCACATTCAGCTATATAGCCAACCCTTTTTAAGTTTTCTTTTATTTCAAGACAAGTTCTTGCTAAGTTGTCCAAACTGGTCTTGAATTCATTCTGTAACCTTCAGGCTTCCTGACTCCTAATGATTACCTCCTCAGGTTTCAAGCATTTGTCTCATCAAATAAAATTACCTCCTCCCCAACATCAGAGTAATTGGGTTTTTTTGGGTTTTTTGTTTGTTTTAAGCACTTTTCTCAGTTGATTTCACATTTCCTCAAATAAATACAAAGCAGAGGCAGAGCCTATCTGAGAGTTACCATTGCAGGCTTTAAGTATCTTGCAAGTGATTAGTGTGTATAAGCAACAGACATTAACTCCCTGCTTCCCAGAGCTGTCGTAGCCACATCTTCCCCTTTAAAAATATCCTTCCAAACCATTGCAGATTTTGTATCCTACTGATTTGGTGTTAATCTGAGGTTATACTACAGATTTAAAGGTCTCAAGACTTGAAAGCATGATTATGCAAGTGAGATTTATTATTTGAGGACATGCAAAAATTGCAGTGGATAAAGGCTCCAAGCAGCCTTTAGAATTATGACAACTTTCATGGTACAAATACTCTTTGCAAAATATTTTCTATCAAAAGGAATTTATATTAGTACTGATGAAGTGGTGTTTGTTTAATGCAAATGAGCATGCTCTTTCTCTGTAAAGTCACATATGGGTTCAGATCAATGATGCAAAGAGATTAGAAATATCTTTGTTATGCTAATTACTCTAATATTGGGTTTCTTATAATATCATTTTTGAAACTTCTTGTTTTATGTGTGCAAGTGTCCTGCCTGCATTTATGTCTATGTGTCACATGTATGTAGTGTCTATGAGGCCAGAAGATGGTGCCAGATGCCCTAGAACTGGAGTTACAGGTGGTTGTGATCTACCACATGGGTACAGAGAGCCAGGGTCCTCTCTAAGAGCAGTAAATCCTTTTAAATGCCAGCCCATCTCTATAGTCCCTATAATCTGATTTTGTTAAACAGTCTATATTATTATGTGAACAGAAAATCACATTTCCAAAAGAGCCAGAATAACCATTGATAAATTGTCTTGTCAGAGTAGCAGCATATGCTCGTACTTCCAGCACTTGGGAAACAGAGGCAGGAGAATTGTGAGTTTAAGCTAGTTTAGGATATATGGCAAGACATTTTGCTCAAAAATGAACAACAAACCTCACCATCTGCCTGGCTTCATGAACAATCCTCTCGCACTGCGTCCCTGGGGGGGGGGGGTACCTGCTGCCTCAGTGATTTTTTCTCAACCAGCTTACTCACCAGGTCACAGTCACCCACATCCAGTTTCTCCAGGGATGTGTTAACTTGCAGCATTGACGCAAAAATCATGCCACCTTTATTTTCAATCTTATTTCCAGTCATTCTCAAGTATTTGAGAGTTTTGTTTTTCTGGAAAAGAAAAAGAATCAAAACTTAGTTGCCTAAACTTGAATACCCCAAATCCTCTCTCAGTGAAATAAGTCAGGAAATTGAATTACTATTTGAAAACTCATTTTTACAGAGAAAGAGTGGGATATGTTCTGTAAAAGCAGTACCAAATGACTCATGATAACCAAATCTATTAATAGAAAGAATGACCAAGAAACAAATACCTGGGAAATAAAGGAGATTTTAGTATGCTCCCATTGGAAATTCTGTAAATGTGTTTCATAAGACAAACATATTGTTGAGGTGAAATTCACATGGCAAGAGATGACCAAACTGTCCAGTGGCTTCTACTTCACTCAGCTAATTCCAGAACACTCTTCATCCCCTAAATCCTTGTGTTCGGCTGTCACCCCATTTCTATAATGCATGTGTGGGTGAGCGGGCGTGTGCACACCACATGCACGAGTGAAGCCAGGGCCTCACTTGTGCTGGGCAGCTGTTCTGTCATTGAGCTACTTACCCAACTCTGACTTAATTGTTTTAAGTTATTTTTATGTGTATGACCATTTGCCCACATGTATGTACCATGTACGTGCCTAGTGTCCATGAAGACCAATAGAAAGTGTTGGATGTCCTAGAACTAGAGTTAAATCCAGTTAGGATCTGCTGGGAACTGAACCCAGGTCCTCTGCAAGAAACGCAAATGCAGGAAAAGTAAACATAAAATTAAAACAAAGAAATCTTAAAAACAAAAAGCCAGCTGTTGTCTGAAAGCAGCAACACCTTATTAGCAGAGGCATATGACCAAACACAATCTATGAAGCAACTGGTCACTCAAAGTAAGGAGTAGCTATACTTGCATCTGAAACAGTAGTCCTCAAGCCAAACTTAGAAGACAGAAGACCACTACATAATAAAGGGAACACGGTCTTCTCCACAGCCTATAGGACTGCATGGGGGAAATAAATCACATTTTCTGTTGTTTTTTTTTTTTTAAATTGAAATAGGTACTTGTATCTAGAACACGGTGAAATAAAACTAGAATTCATGGCAAGATCAAGCACAGTAACCGTACAAATGCATGGACGGAAAGATCGTGGAGGTCATGAATGACAGTGGGTCACTGAAGAACCCAGGTGCTTAGAATTCCTAGAACCCAATGAAAAACTGAACTCTCAGAACCTTTAAGGCCACAGCAGAGGTGCTTGTTGAAGAAGCCTGTGGCTGTGGATACTCCCACTTAAAAATAAAATCGCCTACAAGATGGCTCAGTGTGGAAAGCCTAACTATCTAAGCTGGATTCTGTGCTCGCTAGTTTTGTGTCTGTTTAACACACACTAGAGTCACTTGAGAAGAGGGAACCTCAGCTGAGAAAAAGCACCAACCAGACTGGCCCCTGGGCAAGTGTATGGTGCACTTTCCTAACATTTGATTGATGTGGGAGGGCACTGACCTTTGTGGGTAGCATTGACCTGGGCTGGTGGTTCCATGGTGTAAAAGAGAAGCCAACAGAGCAAGCCAGTAAGCTGTACCCCTTCGTGGCCTCTGCATCAGTTCCTGCCTTAAGTTCCCCTGACTTCCTTGGATGATAGACTACGCACTGTAAGATGAATTAAAGTCTTTCCTCTTCACATTGACTTTGGGCATGGCATTTTATTCCAGCAATAGAAACGCTAAGACAGGACCCACATGCTGTAAGAAGAGGATCGACTCTCCAAGTTGTCTCCTGACCTCTGCATGCACCATAGCACATACATGTGTACAGACATATACCCAAACAATGTTTTGTTGTTTTTTTCAACCAGAGGACTCAACTAGATAAGTATGTACCAGAAGGTCTTAGAGAAATAAGAACAAGGGCTGAGAGGTGGCTTAGTGGGTGAAGTTCCAATTCTAATGACACAGGCACACTGGTGCATCTGGAATCCCAACTGTGGGGGAAGCAGGGGTGAGGTAGGCAGTGCCCAGGGACTCACTGGCTAGCTACTGTAGCTAAAGTGAGCTCCAGGGTCAGAGTCTCTGTCTCAAAAAATAGGGTGGCAAGTGACAGGAAGACATCCAACATCAACTTTTGGGACTTCATTCCCAAGGACATACACATGTACACAACACACACACTCACAAACAAAATCCAAAAGTGATGAAATGGACACTAAAAAGATAATCCATAGACTCAGTGAAACAAAAAGTTGATTCTTGGAAAAGATGAACAAGAGTAACAAACCCTTAACCAAAGTAACCAAAAGAAAGAGACTGCTCAACAAAGTTGGAGATGGAAAGATATATTACAACAGAAGATGAAATCTAAGGTTCTGTGTGGAAACATATTCCAACTAATTGGGAAATCTGGAAGAAATATGTTCATAGGTACAAGTGAAACACCAAAACTAAATCAAGAGACCATGAAGGAAAATAAGGTAAGAAAATGGTAAAATTGTTATGTCTGACATGATTTTACACCATGTATGGAAAGTCCTAAGTAGTCCAACCCTGAAATAGCTGTTCAAACTGATAAGTTCAGGGAGAGCACCAGGTGAGAGATATCTATCTGGGACTCCTAGCAGCTGGGGATTCACCGCTTGCATTAGCCAGGTGGGACTTCCAGTGGAGGTGAGATATCCTCTCAAAACAGACAAAATCCAGGCTTTAAAAATACATGTGATTTGAACAAAGGTTCCTCCAAAGGAAGAACAAACAACCATGGAAAGATTGAGTCCATTATTCATTAGGGATGCCTCCTTACACCACTCAGATGGTGAGGACCAAGATGGCAGTAACAGTTCTGTGGAGGATGGCAGGACCTAGGACACTCACATTGTTGACAGAATTGTAAAAAGATGTAGCTACTTGGGACAACAATTTGACGGTCCCTCAAAATTATTATGACACTGGAGGAATAGCTCAGCAATTAAAACACTGGCTGCTGTACCAGAGGACCTAAGTTTGATTATCCAAATGGTATACAACCATCCATAACTTCAATACCAGGGAATCTGACACCCTCTTTTGGCCTCCCAGTGTACCAGGCAAGTGTGTGGTGCACAGCCATGCAAGCAAATAAAACACTCATGCACGTAAAGAAAAATTCAAAGTATGTTACAACATCATTGATGAATCTTGAAAATATTAAGCCATGAATTATGACTACTGGCTGCAAAGGCTGGAGAGTAGAAAGGAGGCTGTACTAACAAGTATAAGGATTTTCTCTGGCTGGAAATAAAGGCTGGGAGATAGCTTGGCAGGTAAGAGCACTGCTCTGCAAACATGAGCATGAGTTCAAGTCCCCAGCACCCAAGTAAAAAGCCAAGCATGGCCGTATATGCCTGTAACACCAGCAATGAAGTGCAGAGACAGATAGATCCTGAGTGTTCATGGCTAGCCAGCCTAATCTAAATGGCAGGCTTACAGTTTACCAAGAAAACTTGTCTTATGGCAATAATGCTGAGGGTGGTAAAAGAAGATACTGAACTGTTAGGGTTTGGTCACAGGATCTTTGTCAGAATTAGTTTGGTTTTCTTTGCAATTCTTTTTAAATGACCTTGTTCGCCACAATGAAGACATTTGAGAGTTTGGATTTTCTCAAAACCTTTAGAGATGCACAAAATATGGCAGTTAAAGTCATTTTATTAATAAAAGAATCTTTTGATACTGAGACATATCAGTTCCTGGTAGAACCCCCAGCCTACCTCAAAGAAGATAAAGGACATCGAAGAACCTCCATATGGAGTTTACTTCAAATGTGGCAAGCTAGCCACTGGACTGGAAACTGCCTTTGCTTCAACTGCAGACAGCATGCTATCCAAGCTATGAGCAAGCAGGACTCAAAGAGGTTGATTGCCAAAACTTGCCAAGCTAGTCCTTGGACAGCCCAGGACAGTAGGCAGTCCTTCTCAATTTCTGCTTCACACAAAGGTCTCAGATACTGGGCCAGAGGGCTGAAGATGATGCCCCAATGTTCCAGAGAAAATTTGGGTGACTGTCCAGGCAGCCAGCTATCTCCCATTTCTATATTTTTGGAAGCTGCTTACTCTGCACTTCCTACACACTTAGGCAATATTTTTTCCTCCTTAATTCTCTGATGGGGTTGAAGACTAGACAGTTATAGTCTCACAATTAAGCTTAATATGTTTTGGATTTAAGAAAATGTTTAGTTTGTTAAATGCAAACTGACAGAAAAATATTTAGGTATAGAACTCTGAACTCACCAAGACAGGATTGATAGTAGAGTGTTTTCTCTGTTGCCAAACACAAATGGACTGGACATTGAGAATGTTATTATTACATGATAGTTTTCATAACTGTTCTTACTGTATATAGTTTATAATTGTAAGAGAAAGAGCCTTTTAATTTAGACAAAAGGGGGACATGCTGTGGGTTGGTCTGGGGCTCTGTGTATACAAATGCTGAATTCTGGGCCCTGAGATCTGGCTGCAGTCATGACAAGTGCATTGTCACATATTCTGATCAATGTTGTATAAACTTTGGTCCCCAATTATATCTGATTGGTTAATTTTAAAAAAGCTGGACAACCAATAGCTGGGCAGAAGAGAGGTAGGTAGAGTTTCTGTCCCCAGACCTGGGGTCTCAGATGGGGACCACAAGGGGGGGGGGAGAAAAAAGAAAGAAGAGATAGAGGAGGATGTCACCATGAGGAATTGATCAGATGGATCAACAGTCCAAGGAGGACCAATGTGGATAGTAACTTGGGGCATGTCGCTGGGAAATAACAAGATTAGCATAGAGGATTAGTATAAATGTTTATCTGCCTGCTTATTGAGCTTAAAGCTTATTAGGAAATATAAGTCTCTGTGTCATTTATTTGGGAGCTAGAGTGGGTGATTTAAAAAAGACCCACAAGATATAAGTTATCTACAACACTGGACTTCCTGTTCTGGCCTCCACATGGGAGCATATGGTCACACGCACTCACACATGCCTGTAAGTACCCACACACACACATACACACAGATAAAAATACTCTAAAAATAATGGTGGTGGTGGTGATTTTAGAATAAACATATTCTGCAAATAACAATGGTTTATTTACACAACTCTGTGAATAAAATAAATTTACTGATAGATAGGGCCTCATTATGTAACCCTAGCTGCCCTGGAACTCTGTAAACCAAACCAACCTCAAACTCACAGAGATCTGCCTGTCTCTGTCTCCTAAATGGTAAAATTAAAGGCATGAACCGCCACTCCCAGCCTCTTAAATACACTTTGAAACTTCCCTTTGAACTGAAAACTTTGGGAGAATATATTTTACATATGTGAATTATATTGCAATTAAGTTTGTTAATGTTTTTAAGGAAGAAAATGTTCAGGAGATAGAGTTTATCATAGCAGAAGAACAACATAGCTGGTCACACTGCAACTACAGTCAAGGAGCAGAGAGAGATGAATGCGGGTGCTCATCAGGGTTTTTCTGTGTAGCCTTGGCTGTCCTGGACTCACTTTGTAGACCAGACTGCCCTCGAACTCACAGAGATCCACCTGCCTCTGTCTCCCCCAGTGCTACGATTAGAGGCATGCACCACCGTGCCTGATGTCCTTTTCCATTTTCTCTTATTCAATCTAAATCCCATCTCCCATGGAAGGGTGCCACCTACATTTACAGTATGTTCTCCCACACCTTGGTTAAGCCTCTGGAAATGCCCTCACAACACACGAAGAGGTGTGTCTCCTATGTGAGCCCAAGTCCAGTCGAGTTGACAGTGAACATGAGACATTACAATAAACCAACTCTTTGTCAACTTGATATCTAAACATATCATTTATAAACTACATCCCACTAGTCCTGCATAAGCAACTTGCACGGAGCTCATTCCCAAGATCCCCCTAAGTCTTAGCAGTTCCAATTTCATTCCGAAGCTGAATTTTTAAAAAGGTACTCTTTTAACTGTGAGCCCCTGTAAAACGAGAGAAAAAGTTACACTCTTCCCATATACGATGCCATACACATTCGCATTCCAACAGAGATAAATGAGAGAACAACATGGAAGGACCTGACCACAGCAAGATCAAACCTGAGGCTGCATATCGAGCATTGGGGCTCCACTGCGTCCGGGTCACTCTGCCCTTCCAGCTCTGTTCCCTGTGGCACTTAGGGCCTTTTTGATGGGCTGGCTCCTCTTGCTACCTACAGCTTTCCTTGATAAACACCCCATGTTTCTGGTATTTCCAATATCATGGCTTTCCATTACCACTTAGACTTCACCCCATACCTTTATGTTAGGGGTTGGTCTGATGCTTGTATTTTGATGCTAATTACTGCCCTACCGTTATTGTGTAAACCTGCCTAAGACATTATTCCTGATTGGTTGTTTAAAAGGCTTAAAACCTGGGCAGGGCAGAATGAGGTAGGCGTGGCTAAGTTTCCTGGGCTCTGGGGACAGGAGAATGATGGGAAAGAGACACATGGTAAGTGAGAAGGAGGAAGGACTCTGCTATAGGTGAGAAGGGAGAAGTAGCCACGTGGGCCCGGGAGGAAGGACTCCAATAATGGCATGGAAAGGCCCAGATGAAAAATACAAGCAAGTATTTCTAAAATTATGGGTAGAAGGGAGCCCAGATAAGACTGGATAGGATAAGGCAGACGGCATCAGATGGGGGCTAGGAGATGGATGGTGAGGCTATTGAGATATCATAGATGGAAAATGATATCTGCCCAGCGCAAGGTGTTATAAGGCATTTATAAAATCTTTCAGGTGTCTGTGTCTTATTGATTATGATAGTGGGTTAAATGATACCACTATAACAATTATACAGCTAATAATAATAAACATTATTTAGCCCCGTACCATTTTATTTACAACAACACCTTCATGCACAGCTCAGAAGCCCCGTGCAAGGATCTGACTCTGCTGCACCTGCTGCACCTTCAGCATTATTCTGAAACCTTTTTGGTGCGAGTCTCCACACACTTGTCGCTTGCATACCTGTAAAACCTGCACTTCATGGACGGTGCCCCTGAGCTTGGCTGCAGCTCATGACGTTAACTGGCCTCCCGGGAACTCAGCAACCTCTGCCTGCCTACATAGTTGACGCTGGCATGAAAACTTCCTTAGGTTTTCTGACAGGGTGCCCTGAAGGCTGTAGTTTTTGGGGTTTTGGTTTTTTGTTTTTGTTTTTCAGGAAATTTACTGGAGCTCTCCACCTAACAGTCTTGCATTCCAGGCAATGTTTCTATTGTCTGTGCAAAGCATGAGGCTTCACTTCATGTAGTAATATTGACAGTTACAGATGGCCTGTGAGCACATGCCGCCAATGCTCTATCCACACCTACCTCCTTTCCCAGTGTCTCTTTTGTATACCCCAGCCCTCTTCCCCTCTAAACCTGACTAAGGGCACTGACTGAGCCGTCATCATGTCGCAGCTCACTTGCTATGTTGTCTTGAAATTGCCTCCACCAAACAGTGTAGTCCAGTCATCACCTTTGAATTCAGTCTCACTCGAGGTTTCAGCACACTGAGACAACTAGACTCTTTGCCAGATTACGACCCAAGCGCCCTCCAAGCCAGTTCCTGGTAGATCTGTCCACCCAGAGCTTCACCAGCCCTGTCTCCCCTGTCCTCATTTCTTTTCTTTCTTTTTTTTTTTTTTTTTAGATTTTATTTATTTTTATTTTATGGTTTTGCCTGTGTGTATGTCAGATCCTCTGGAACTAGAGTTACAGACAGTTGTGAGCTGCTGTTTGGTTGCTGGGAAGCAAACCTTGGCCCTTTGCAAGAACAAGCGTTCCTTCCAGCACATACACAATCACATTTTCCCACAAATGCCTCAATAATAGTTGAACTAATATAAGCCCGTATTAATTTTGGTTGTTTCCAAACTACAGGAGTTGAAATCCACAAATGAAATACTACTTTGAGATATATAAATACTTACATGTAGCGCATTAGCAATAATTTCTCCACCGTCTGGTCCAATATCATTAAACATAAGGTTTAAGTAAGTGATAATCGGTTGTTTCTACAGTAAGGAAATAAAGAAGCTATTGTATTTGTATTACTAGAAATCAATCAATCTCTACAAAGAATTTATCCAAGGTCGTTAAACAAGGTTTAAGTAAGTGATACTTGGTTAGAAGAGTGATAATTAGAAGTGATAATTCTAAGTGATAATTCTAAGTGATTATTAGAAGAGAAAGAAATTACTGGAATTCAATCAATCTATGTACACAATTTATTTAGCTAAAAGTATTTATCTCCATATAAAATCTAACAGAATTCCAACAAAGGCAATCACCATTTAAGAAGAAACAGTCTGTTTTCTCTTTCAAATGCTGCAACTGTAATATTATTGAAAGAAAAAGACAATTCAGTTTCATCAACAATTGTATGTATGGACATCTTTGAGTATTTAACCATGGCATACAGGTTTTCAAAAAGACACCTCAGGAGCTCCTGATATCAGTTCTCCTGAGACCAAATACAAGTAGGTTTCCATGTATTTAAAGAGTTGGGGTTACAGCCCGGATTTAGGACCCTTGTGTTTTCCACACTTAGTGTTCTCCTGTGTGCCATTATCTACTTAGTCTCATCTCTCAGCAGAACAATGGATAAAGGTATTTGGTGGTACTGTAATACCTGAAGCAGTTTTGCAGCACAGTAGGCACCAACATCGCTTATGAGGTTATACCTCACATCCACACCTGAAACATACAGTTGAAAAGAAACTGATATTCTTTATTTAAAAAAAAAATACTTAAAATCAGGAAAATGAAAATCAGGCAGTGTTTACTCTTAGTCAAACATACCATTGATCCATGACTGGTTCCTTAAAAGTTTGGAAAGAATCCAAAAATCTTCACCTGTTATTCTTTGTACTGGGACTAAGCGATTGTTACCACCAATGTGTAATGTGATTTCTTCCTCTTGTCTGTCAAAATAAAGACAAAGAAAGTGAGGAGGACAATGTTAACACAAAATCTGAAACCTTTCACGTGTGAATAGTAATATCAGAGACCTTGCAATCTGGTTTAACATAGCTAATTTCTCTACCATTAAATTTCTCTCATACATCCCACTATCCTACTATAATTTGTCCTGATAAAACATTTGGACAAAAACAAAGTTAACAGCTGGGCTCTGGTGGTGTTCGCTTTTAATCCCAGCACTTAGAAGGCAAAGGTCAGCAGATCTCTGTGAGTTTGAGGCCAGCCTGGTCTACAAAGTGAGTTCTAAGACAGACAGCCAGAGCTATACACAGAAACCATGTCTCAAACAAACAAACAAATGGATGAATGAATGAACAAAAGAAAAAGAGAAAGAGAGAGAAAAGGAAGGAAGGAAGGAACAAAGGAAGGAGAATAAAAAGGGAAGGAAGGAAGGAAAGGGGAATAAAAAGGAAAGAAATTTAAGGAAGAAAATGTTGGTTTTAGGTTTTGATTTCAAGTTATCTGCCCTTGATAAGAAGACATAGTGGAAGGAGCTTTAAGCACGTAGTTACTTCATATCTACAGTTAAGAGCATACAGAAACAAACAAACAATTGCTCAATTGCTTGCATGTATTCAGCTTGATTTCTTCAGTCTTATCCAGTTCGGGACCCCTGTCTAAGAAATGACCCTGCCCTCAGTGGGCTGGGTCTACCCACACCGATTAACTCAAGAAGATCCTCTACAGCTATGGGTGAAAGCTAACCAAATATAGAAAAGTCTTCATTCTCCCCAGAGTGATTCTAGGTGGTTGTGTCAGGATGATGGAGCTAATGTCAAACCCACTTTAGACATAAGAACACTGACTACTTTGAGGAGACCTAACTATTGTGATAAAACAACACAGCCAAATCAACATGGAGAGGAAACGGATCATTTCATTTTACAACTTTTGGTCATATTCCACTACTGAGGGAAGTCATGGCAGGTACTCAAGGCAGGGACCTGGAGCAGAAACTGAAACTGAAGCCATAGAGGAACTCTGCTTGCTGGCTGGCTCTCCCTGACTTCCTCAGTCTGCTTTCTTATACCACCGAGGCCCACATGTCTAGAGTGGCTACCCCACAGTGTTGGCTGGGCCCTTCTATATTCATCACTAAACAATAAAACGTCCCCACTGACCTACACAACAGGCCATATGATAAGGGCATTTTCCCAACTGTGGTGCCTTTTCCCAGGTAAATTTAATGTGTCAAGTTGACAAAACAAAACAGAAACGAGAGCAGCAACCGGAACAAAGGATATGCCTGAATTCGCTCAGCTCACAGCAACTAAGGCATAACTGCAGGAGCCCTGGCTTGAGGGCTCCTGGTCTGATGTTCGCCTCAGTGTCAGATGCCATACCTAAGACAGTGTCACATGTCTACCTGGTAGCTATCTCCATTTACCAAGCCATTTCCAACTGGGGATAAAACTGCTGAATGGCCCAGGGCTTCACAGAAATGAGAATCAGTGAGTACTTACGCTACAGCAGAATACTTCTCTTCCTTACCCGTTTTTAATATCTTCATCCACTTTTGCGAGCATGTTCAGTATGAAAGGATTGCAGTCCCGTGAGTTTTCTGAACAAAGGTGCCTGTACTGTATCTGGAAGCTCTCCGTAAACTACTTGGAAACATCAATGCATCCATTATCACATGTCAATTATCCCCAAAGCTAACAACAACCACGCTTCTTTCAAATAAATTAATATGGATATACAGTGAGGGTAGGGAAGAAGAGGGAACTAAAGATGGGGAGGGCGGAGCCAAACAGGTTGTAAATGTCTCCTGCTAGGGTGGGCAAACTGATCAGCACCCTATCTGAAAGGGGGCGACTGACCTGTGCCATGTGTTGGGTCTGGTAGCTGAGGAAAAGGTGTCCAGAGAAATTATGCTAGGCAAAATCAAGCATTCAAGGGAAGTGTGCAAAATCAAACTAAATCTAAAGACTGCATGTGCCTCTTTAGGTTCAAATGACTGGGTTTCTGGAAATAGCCTCAAGTGAAGACAATTCTGTTCAGCAATCCAGTTCAAGAAGGACCTGAAAAATCACACACTTGGATTAGTGTTGGAATAATGTTCTTTTGGAATATATACAATTTACCCTTGCTCATTCAAATGCTGATTTCTCTCCCTCACTACTGGGTTTCAATCCGGACATTGCATTGTGATGCTTATTGTAAGCATCACCTGTCTCAAGTTTATCACATGCTACCATTTGCTCTCTATATTGTCAATTAAAACAACCAGCCAGAATGCTGAGCAATGGAGAGGATAGGGTAGGACATCCTGGTCCAGAGTGGGAGGAAGAGGAAGGAAGCAGGTGGGAGGAGAAGAGCAGAAAATCTACAGTAGAGGGCTTAGAACCACTCCTGGAGAAATGAAACAGACCTAAGATATCACTAAGAGCAAGTATAATGGGTGAATCTGAATGGTAGGAAACTATACGGGCTTGGAGATTTAGGATGTAGTAACTATTGCCTAGCACTGTGTTCTAGGTTAATTAAATAAATCCAAGTTTCTGCGTGGTGATTTGGGTATTCAGCTTGTTTAGGACTAACCATTGCTTAACTAAAAGATGTATCAATAGTAAATATTATTACACCACAACAGATTAAATACCTTGACACCATTCCAATTTGATAGCATTTTCATAGCAGATTGAGGCCTGGCTCATTAAAGCACTTTTCCTGTCCCAACCTTCCATTTCTTCCATTTCCTCTTTCTTTTTTCCTTCCTTCCTTTCTTCCTTTCTTTCTTTCTTTCTTTCTTTCTTTCTTTCTTTCTTCCTTTCTTTCTTCCTTTGTGGTTTCTTGAGACAATGTTTCTCTTGGCTGTCCTAGAACTCACTATGTAGACCAGGCTGTCCTTGAACTCACAGTCCACCTGCCTCTGCCTCCCAAGTCCTGGCATTAAACTCCACACCATCCAGCCCATTTCCTCTTTCGAGAGCTGATTTCCTCCTTTAGTTCCTTTGTGTGTGATGGGGAATTCAGGTGTTGGTTCATGGGGAAGCCAGAGACTGGCATCCAGTGTCTTCTTCTACTGTCTTCCACCCTATTCAAAATGGGTCTACCGGTCTCTGAACCATTACCTCACTATTTAGGCTAGGCTGACTCACCAGAGAGCCCTTGGGATCCACCAGTCTCCACCCCTATGTGCTAGGGTTTCAGGCATGCACTACCATATCTGGCTGTTATCTGAGAGCTAAGAATCCAAACTCAGACCCTCACATTTACGCTGTGAGAACTTACCCAGCCAGCTATCACCCCACCCCCATCTCTGCGTCGCCTTTAATAATGATACATAGGAGCTGAGATCTCTGTTCTCTTTTACGTAAGCGCTTCCCTCATACACCTACTGCTTTTCATGGTCACCTTTCTTTTCTTCTTCTAAACACAGGGTATCACTGTGTAGCCTACAATGGCCTTGAACTCATGGTCCTCCTTCCTCATCTTCCTGAGTGCTAGAATCACAGGTATGTGCCACCACACCTGGCTTCAGTATTACTTCAAAAATATCTCTTGCGAAGTCCCGGTCTCCCGGAATGGAAGCTATGGTCTTACTTTTGTAAGCAGCACATGCTGCTGACTTTGTCTGTTTCTGCCACTTTCTGTGTCTATTTCAAAATACACTCTGCAATCGCGAACTTTAACTAGCCTGGATTCTTAGATACTGGCATCTTCCTTAAATCTCTACATCTCAGAAGTATCCACTGCTGCTGAGTGGCCATTTGCACTAGAAGAGTTTGCCACCCAACGCTGCAGAACAAGACTGAAGATCTTTATATCTAAAATGAAATAAATTAACTTTTTAAATAAAATTTTAAATATTTATTTTACTTTATTGGTGTGTGTGTGTGTATGTATGACAGAATTAGAATCTTTGGTCTAGTTTTATACCTTTCAGTTATTGTTATATTGTAGGTAGTTCTCTCATGGCATTACTCTCTAAAAAATACATCAGGATAGTGTCTCATAGACATACATACTAGATCCTGTCACCTCTTTTAGGAAAACTTTTGGCTATTTAAATAATATAGCATGAAAATTTCCAAAATAAGCAAAGATGCACCCTCCCCAACACCGCCAAAAGAATGAGTTCCTTTGGTCAACTACTTTTCAGAAGGGCTGAAATAAATGAAGTTACACAAAGGCCTAACTAGGTCACTTCTTGGGATATTTAAAGCATTTAGGTGCACGTTGAGTTGCTGGGCTTGGAGGGTCAGAAGGCCCCACTTCTGAGATGTTTATGGCACGTGTGGAATACACCATCCACCAAGGGCAGTGTCAGCCATCCTGAAAACACAGACACTCCCAGGGTTTCTCAACAGAAGCTGGAGCTGGGCTCCCCGCCCCCTCCCCCACCCCCCACTGGGCTGCTTTCCTGCCTCAGGCTACTAAATTCCTAGGATAGAATAGGTGTCTGTCCTCCTTTTTGAAGGCAGGGATTGGGTCTCTAAGCTGCGCTTTCTTCAAAGGCCCAGTGACCCGAGGAGGCAGCAGTAACACCCATACTCCTTATTCTCACCCTAGTCTTATGTTCAATTTGCTAAGTTCATGGACGCAGTCATACTCAGAGTGCATGCGGAAGAATGATAAACACGAACAAAACCATCACTATGAAACCCCTTCTTCTAGCTAGGAGTTGTGGCATACCCCTGTAATCCCAGTACTCTGTGAGTTCGAGGCCAGCCTGGTCTACAGAGCAAGTCCAGGATAGCCAAGGCTCCACAGAGAAAACCCTGTCTCGAAAAAAAGAAAGGAAGGAAGGAAAAGGAAAGGAAAAAAGAAGAAACCCCTTCTTCTATATGTTAAAATGAATGAAAAAAAAATAGAGGTTAAAAGGAAAGCAAATGTAGGTGGTCTAGAAGTGGGAACTCAGAAATGTCTCAGGAGCCTCTTGCTTATCTGGGGTGGTTTCCTGGGGCTTCCACAAACTCAGGGGCGCAGAAGAACCCCAGCACGCCTTCCCCAGACCCTAGAGCAAAGCCACAGGAGAGCTGCCATACCCTCCTCACAAAGTCAACAGCGGTCAAGGGCGCCCCCATACCTGGGCTTCTGCACGTAGGATCCAACGCCCGTCGCTTGGCCTAGAGCCGCAGGGTCGGGTGACCCTTACTCAGGCACGCTTTGCCGGCGGCAGGACTGCTGAAAAGTAAGGCTGCGGCTGGGCTTTCCCTTAACGACGGCTCCTGTTCCGTCCTCACACGGCTGGGGCCACAACCCATGTCTAGCAACCCAAGTCGCTCCCATGGCAACCACAGGAGCGTCCTTCTGGAGGAAGAGGGAGGAGGTGGGACCACGGTTGAGAGGGCGGGGCATCTTCTAACTGAGAGGCCTGAGCTGGGAGGCCCTGACCGTTCACTTTAAGCCTACCCACTCTGGGATACAGACAGTGAAGGAGTAGCTTCGAGGTTGGGAGCTTTGAGGTTGGGAGCCTCGTCTCCTGCGCTAGGGACCAGGACTACAAACCCTGGTGACCCAGCCTTTCTCCCCATACGGGAAAGCTAAGCTTGGAATATCACGGTAGAACCTCTTAAGTGTGAAGGGGTGTAGTACCCAAAGGGTTTTGTGAAGGAGTGAGCCCTCTGGCAGAGAAGGCGATTTCCGGACTCGTCTGAGATAGCGGAAGTGCCCAGGTACGTAGAATATGGAGACGGGCAAGGTCATATTCATGTGGAGTCTTAGCGTCTTCTTTGTGGTAAGGCTGTGAAGGGTCAGGGCAAGATGCTAGCGACCCCTCAGATGCTGGCTGTAGACCCACTAATGGTGAATTTGAAGGACCTGGCCTGGAAGCAGGGTCTGAAACACTCACAGAAGTCTAGAAGAGGCAATAATAAAACGTGAATTTAAAAATACCTGAGTCCTCCTCATTCCGTCCCTGTGACTCCACTACCAGGGAAGCTCAGGCAAGGCAGAATCTGGGTAGGCACAGGAACTGAGTTTTAAGGTCCCTTCTGCATATGTAACGTGATGGAGTGTGGAAGTGTGTGCACTCATCCCTTGGGTTTCCAGGGAAGTGGAGGAGCGGCCTAGGTTCTCCTCTGCCCTTTTCTCTCCCAGATGCTTTTGAATTAAGAAGGGAGAAGAAAGGTTAAAGATGCTGCGTGGGGCGGAGGAGGGGGAGAGGGTGTGAGGGTGTGCTCTGCACAAGGGAGCAAGCAGCACAGCAGAGCCCAGGGCCCCTCTTGATCCAGCCTATGCCTTTCTCAAAGGCCTCTTGGCGCTTTCTAGTGCAGAACTAGTGGGAGAACTGACCCTGTGCTTGAGTGTACGCCAGATTTGACCCACATGTTAAACATTGGTTTCTTTGCCTGGTTCTCCTGTCCTAGACATGGTTGGTTCCGTTAGCCTTTTGTTTGCCTATGGAAGCCTGGCTTCTCTGCCTACCAGCCTCACCAGGAGTGAAAGGGCTTTCCCCATTGCTCTCTACTTAACAGAGAAAAACTGGTTGCTGATTCACTAGGGTTTTTTTTTCCCCCCTTAGCCTGTTTTTGCAGATTACAACTCTGGTGACTTTATGAAAATATATGAAACAGAATTTTCCTCAATGTTTTCTGTGGGTGATGGCAAGAGCTATGATCTTTTGCAGCCTCTAGAAGTTGTTTGTTTGTTTGTTTCCAAGGCAGGGTTTCTCTGTGTAGCCCTGGCTGTCCCGGACTCCAGTTTGTAGACCAGGCTGGCCTTAAACTCAACAGAGATCTGCCTGCCTCTGCCTCCCTGAGTGCTGGGATTACAGCCGTGTACCACCATGCCTGGCCCTTCTAGAACTTTTGAAACTAAATCAAAATAAGCATCTTAAAAAGTTAATTTGTTTTTGATTTTTTGTTGTTGTTTCTGAGACAGAGATCAAGCTATGTAGCTCTGACTGTCCTGAAACTCACTATGTAGACCAGGTTGGCCTTGAACTCACAAAGATCTACTTATCTCTGCTTCTGCAGTGCTAGAATCAAAGGGGTGCAACCACTATGCCCAGCTTTGGAAAAAAAATCAATTATGGATCTTTAAGGGGGGGCTGGAAAAAGGTATGTACATATGGGTACAGGTGCTCACAGGACAAAAGAAGGTATGGGGTCCTTCTGGAACTGGAATTTCGGGCAGTTGACTCCAGATTTGGGTGCTGAGACCTGGGTTTCTCTGCAACAGCAGCAGGTGCCTTTAAAGGCGGGACCATGTCTTTAGCCCCTAAGCAAAGAGTTGTTTTTTTTTTTAACTGAAATTACCCAATCTGTGTCTTAATGCACATGCAAAAATGTACTAGAAAGAGGTGCTTGTACTTCAACTCTCACCCTGATATAAAAATTTTAAGAAAGAAAATCTAAATTTTATGTTGCAGAATAATTTCAGTCACTAAACCATGTGTTGTTTGTTTTTGTTTTTGTTTTCTCCCCCACACCCCTCTATTATTTAGTCTGGTTGTTACGGAGATCTGATTTTTCCCTTTTCACGACAGGTATTTCAGATTAACCATGTATGAACTTTCCATGAAAACGATGTCAATGGAAGCACAGAAACAAATGGAAGTCCAGAAACAAATGGAAGCACAGAAGCGACGTTCACTTCAGAGAAATGCACCCGAACATTATCAGGTCACTGACAGAAAATTTTTCATTGACAGTTCCAACCAGAGTTTGACCAACATCCCGTCAGAGATTTTTTCATTAAAAGAAATAGAAGAAGTGCATCTGGAGAACAACCAGATTGTAGAAATCCCCCAGGATATTCAGTATTTAAAGAATATCAAGGTCCTTTACCTGCACAACAACAACCTAAAGAGTTTGTGCCCGGAGCTGAGGGAGCTGAGCAAGCTGGAGTTTCTGGACCTGAGTGACAACCCGCTGCTCAGCTGCTCCCTGCGGGTCATCAGCTGCCTCCGCACTCTCCGGGAGCTGCGGCTCTACCGCACTGGCCTGAAAGAGGTTCCCACGGTGATCTGCAAGGCCCTGCACCACCTGGAGCTTTTCGGACTGTCCGGGAACTACCTGGAGGCGCTGCCCAAGGAGATCGTGAACCAGGCGAAGCTCAGGGAGATCTACCTGAAACAGAACCAGTTCGTGTGTTTCCCTCAAGACCTCTGCGTCCTCTCCAACCTGGAGGTCATCGACCTGGACAATAACAAGCTGAAGGCCATCCCGGAAGAAATCAGTCAGCTGGAGAAGCTGCAGAAGTTCTACTTGGCGTCCAATAACCTGCCCCTTCTACCCGACACTCTGAGCCAGTGCAGCAAGCTGACGGTGCTAGATCTGACCCAAAACTCTCTGCACTCCCTCCCGTCCACCCTGGAGAAGCTGAGTTTGCTCACCGAGGTCGGTCTGAGCGGGAACCGGCTGGAGAAGATGCCGAGCCTCCTGTGCCGGTGGACATCGCTAATCCTGTTATACATGTCCAATATCGGCCTGCGTAGGCTGCAACGCAACTTCAAGCGCCTGGTCAACCTGCGCTTTCTGGATCTCAGTCAGAACTGCATGGAACACTTTCCCCTGCAGGTCTGCGCTCTCAAGAACCTGGAGATCCTGGCGTTGGATGACAACAAACTGGAACAGGTACTGTGTCTCTCCTCCGTCGTCAGTGGGAACACGGGCAGAGAAGCCACAGGGTGCTCACAGAATGGGGTATATAATGTAAGCTACCCAAAGCTGGGTGTGCCAGTGTAGACAACCCAAATTGGGATGCTTGCCAAACAGAGAAAGAAAAACAAGCCAAAACAACAACAACCCACCTTCCCCCCCCCCCCCCCCCCCACAAAACAGCATATTCATGGTTGAGCCCTACAAACTTACAAATACACAGGCCAGTGCCATGGCCCCCTGGGTAAAAGTGTGGCTGCCATAGGGTACTGCAGAGGCCTTCCACATCAGTTAGCAATCGGGAAAATGTCCTCGAGAACACGTTCCCAGGCCTGCTGAAAGCAATTTCACAAGTGTGGGTTTATCTTTCAGGTGTGTCCAGTTAAAACCAAACCTAGCCATCACGGAAGGATAGCGCACTAGCCTAACCGTGGCTGGAGTCATGAACGGTTGCTAGCCTTTTTTGAGAGAAACTTCAAGTTCTAAGAGGAGAGACTGGCATGAACTGTGCTTGCTAACAGAAGAAATCCCAGTTCACCCGGCCAACCAAACTGTGCCAGAGTGTAGACCTGTCCACAGATAGTATTGTGCTGAGCATGAAGTCTTCATGAACGATTCCTCAGAGTTGTTCTGATTACATTTTTTGCGCTTTTGTCCCCCTGCTCCCAACTCTCAACTTTGTCTAACTCTGTAACTCAAAGTCAGGGTATTCCCTCTGTGTGCAGTACGTGGCTTTCAACCAGCTCCTTACATCTCCTACCCGGAGACTCATCTGATTGGTTTCAGGCTCCTGAAGCATGGCCAGGAGCTCCTTCCTGTCCAGCTAAGTGTGAACACAGCTTTCAATAGGAACCTAAATGAATTTTACCTGTATAGCAAATTACTGTTAAAAGAGAAAGCAAAAACAGAGTATTCAACCCAAAATGGTCAATTATAGCACCATAAATGATTGTTTCAAGTTGATGCTCCGTAGATTCTCTGCATCCAGATTTTTCAGTTTTTATAAATGTATGTGTATGTGTGTATGGATGGATGGATGGGTTCATGATATGATCTGTGTACATGGGTATATGTGCCACAGCACACATACGGGACTCAGACGACAACTTTGTGGAGTCAATTTTTGCCTTCAACCTTTGTGTGGATTCTGGAAGTGGAACTCAGGCCAACACCAAATACATTTACCCCCGAGCCACTGCACCAGGCCCTGTGTGTCTACATTTATTTTCATTGTGTATTAACATGAATTGATGAAAGGAAATACGAGGTCTTGAAAATCCTGGACAAAGAATGGAGACCTGTGAACAGTCAGGATGCTTTGAAAATGAAAAGCTAAGCCAGGGTGTTAAGGCAACAACAATGAGAGTAGAACTACCAGGTTGTAGTGACAGATTAGGTGGAAAAGTCTTTCCCTGTTGTTTTTTATTTCATTGAATTCAGCTGCTTGGTATTGAGGGGGAGCCAAGCACCTCATGAAGAATTTTTAAATTGCTAAGACTTAAACATGGTTTCTCTGGCGATCAACTTGATTTGATTTATTTTTTTATTTTTATTTTTAAAAATGTTTTATTTTTATTAATTACAGTTAATTCACTTTGTATCTCACTTGTAGCTCCCTCTCTCTTCCCCTCCAACCCCCACCCTTCCTCTCTCTTCTCCACCCATGCCCCTCTCCCAGTCCACTGATGGGGAGGTCCTCCTCCCCTTCTTTCTGATCCTAGTCTATCAGGTCTCATCAGGACTGGCTGCATTCTCTTCCTCTGTGACCTGGTAAGGCTGCACCCCCATGAGAGGGAGGTGATCAAAGAGCCAGCCACTGAGTTCATATCAAAGACAGTCCCTGTTCCCCTTACTAGGGAACCCACTTGGACACTGAACTGTCATGGGCTACATCTGTGGAGGGGTTCTAAGTTATCTCCATGAATGGTCCTTGGTTGGGGTATCAGTCTCAGAATAGATCCCTGGATTTGATTTTTTTTAAGTCAATAAATAAGCTGGGCTTGGTAACCTATACCTATACTCCCAGTTCTTGGGAAATAAAGGGAAGAGAATCAGAAGGTTGAGGTCACTCTCAGCTACATAGCAAGTTCCAGGCTACATGAGTTCCTGTCTCAAAAGAACAGAAACAAACTAACAACCCCATGCAAATTTTTAAAAAATGGAGATATTTGTAGCAGCTTTAGAAAAATAAGCCATCTTACATTTAAAAAAAGGTTTTTGAGAGATTCTAGTTCTGCAGAACTTTTACAGAAATTTAGTTTATTTTTATGGTCTGCTTTCTTTTTTTTCCAACCATAAATGGTCACCATTTCCCTAGTGATGAGCTATAGAAAGGCATGGGGATAGGGGTCCTGAGCAGCTCTGCAGTGTAACCGAAGTGGCAAGGAGGACAGCACAGATGAGACAGACACAGAGAAATGAGGAAGGTGTTCCCACTTAAGAGTGAAGTCAGAAAAAGGAGTATGCAAGTTAAGAAATTATTGAGGCCTTCCAAGATGGCAATGACCAGTGTGTGCCATATCTAAGGGGCAGAAGATCAGACACTGTGAAACCAGTGAGTAAACAGATGACTGAATCCAAAATACTGATGGTCAGATTCAGGTTCCCCATGGCCATCCCCCTGGTCCTGAAGTCACTAACAATGAGCCCCCTGCTCTTTCCAAATACTCAAGCAAGTGCAAGCCCTCAGTTCCACTCCAGTATCAGCTACACCTCAGATCCTTCCTGCTCCCTGAGGGCAGCCTCTCGATTCCCAGAACAGCATCCCAACCCCTGTGGAGACCAAGTAGACAATAAAATCATGGAATCCTGGATCCAAGATGGTAGAGCCCAGACAAATCTGAGTCTCAAGAGCACACGTCTGTTAGGCCGGTAAATCACAGCTGCCACCTGAGGCACCTGTGCCCACAACTGCCTTCTGAGATACCTTTGCCCACACATCTGTTCTTTAAGACATCAGCACCAGTGTCCCTGCCCTTTGAGGTACCCATGCCCATGCCTTGCCTTCCCAAACACCCACTCTAGCGTGACTGCATGCAAAATGCCAGCACCCATTCATGTTTCCCTGGACTTCTCTTGCCATCCTGAGGACTACTCCAGACTCCAGAGACTGGAAATCCAGTCTTTGGTACAATTCTTTGAGTTGAGACCAAAGAATTGGTCTCAACTGGTCCTCATCTGATCATAAAGGCTCAAGAAACCCAGCAGGTTTCAGGAACAAACAGCCAAGGCTACGGACAACAAGATGGCTAAAGGCCAGCCTAAGAACACAATCAACAAAAACCAGGACATCATGACTCTGCCAGAAACCCTGAAAACAGTGGATGCTCTAATGCAGCTGAAACAGAGGGATCTGACCTTAAATCTATGCCTATGCATAAAGAAGAAATGGATAAATCCCTCAAAGAAATACAGGAAAATACAACCAACAAGTAGAGGCCAGTGACAACAAACAGGAAACCAAAATCAAACAGGAGAAGGAAATGAATAAAACTGTTCAGGACCTGAAAACGGAATTAGAATCAATAAAGAAAACACAAACTGAGAAAACCCTGGAGAGAAGAGATCAGGAATCACAGAGGTAAGCATCACCAACAGAATACAAGAGATGGAGGAAATAATCTCAGATGTTGAAGGTACAATCAAAGAAACTGATACATCTCTCAAAGAAAATACTAAAATGGAAAAATTTATGACACAAAACATCCAAGAAATCAAGGCACCATGAAAAGAAGAAATGTAAGAATAGGCATAGACAAAAAAAGAAGATTCCAAGCTCCAAGGACCAGAAAATATTTTCAAGAAAATCATAGAAGAAAATTTCCCCAACCTAAAGAAAGAGATACCCTTAAACATACAAGAGACTTACAGAACACCAAATAGACTAGACCAGAAAAGAAATTCCTCATGTCACATAACAATCAAAACATTAAATCTACAGAACAAAGAAAAAAATATTAAAAGCTGAAAGGGAAAAAGGCCAAGTAACATATAAAGGTAGACCTATCAGAATCATACCTGACTTTTCAACGGAGACTGTGAAAGCCAGAAGAGCCTGGGCAGATGTCATGTAGACAGTAAGAGACCACAGATGCCAACCCAGACTACTATATCCAGCAAAACTTTCAGTCACTATAGATGGAGAAAACAAGATATTCCATGACAAAACCAAATTTAAACAATTTATGTGCACCAACCCAGCCCTACAGAAGATACAAAAAATAAACAAACAAAACTTCAACCCAAGGAGGCTAACTATACCCAAGAAAATACAGGATACAGATAACTTCACAAAAGCAAAACAAGAAGAAAACAAGCACACAAACACACTATCATCACCAACTCCACAATAAGAGGAACTAACAGTCACCTGTCACTATTATCTGTCAACATCAATGGACTCAACTCTCCAGTAAAAAGACACAGGCTAACGGAATAGTTGCCGACACAGGATCCAATATTCTGATGCATACAAGAAAGACACCTCAGCAAAAAAGATAGACACTGCCCCAGAGTAAAGGGCTGGAAAAAGGTTTTCCAAGAAAAAGGGCCCAAGAAGCAAGCTGGAGTAGCCATCCTAATATCTAAAGAGATGGGGACATTCTCATCAAAGAAAAAAATCTACCAAGAGGACATCATAATCCTGAACATCTATGCCCCAAATACAAGGGCACCTGAATTGGTAAAAGAAACATTATTGAAGCTTAAATCACATATTGATCCCAACACATTCATAGTGGAAGACTTCAACACTCCACTCTCACCAATGAACAGAGCCTCAAGACAGAAGCTAAATAGGGGGAAAAAATGAAGCTAACAGAGGTCATGAATCAAATCGACCTAATAGCTGTCTACAGAACTTTTCACCCAAACACAAAGGAATATACTTTTTTCTCACCACCACACAGAACCTTCTCCAAAACTGATCACATAGTTGGTCACAAAGCAAATTGAATTAACCCAATGTTCTTTATCAG